GAGGGGCAAGGCTGAGGAGCAGGGCGCCCGCGCCCGACAGGCAGATGCAGCAGCAGGGGTTTGATCCCCGGCTTGCCGTGCCAGCCCCGCCCCCGATTGCAACTAGGCGTGGTAGCCCATGCCTGTAATCCCAGCCCTTGGGAGGCTGAACACCAGCAGATCACTACGAATGAGATCTACGTAGTGAGACCCTGTAGACCCTGTACTAAATTTAAAAAAAAAAAGATTGTGCCTCTGTGCGAGTTTCCTGGGCAGATGGTAGGGCCCGAGGCTGGCTCTGGACGGTGCCTTCGCTGCTGCACGCCAGAATTGCCGGCAGCACCGATCATCCAGGGTGCGCTCTGTCAGTCCACCGTGTGCCGTACCAACAGATGCAGCGTCAGGAATGTGTGAGGAGCTGCTGCCTACAGTAATAAAGCAATTTAGAAATAAGCCCCAATGGTGTGCACTTCACAAAAGAGGTAAACCCTTGAGTGAAAGAGGCCTGATACCACTGGCCAGCAGGGTGATGGGATTAAGAGCTCTTCGAGACCCCATCGCGTACCAGTGAGAACGATGAGAACCAGGCGTGCTGACACAGATGGGAGCAGCGGGGCCGCACAGCTGCCGGGGGCCTGGGGGACACAGCTCTCTAGAAGGAGGGCTCCTGGTGTCCCAGCTGCCATCTGCATACTGCCACACGGCAAAGGAGCAAAGGCATTTGGCCCAGTTTATGGAGGGTTCAGTCCATAGTTGGCTGGTTCCAAGGCAGGTGGCACGGCAGGGGAGAAACAGCCCACAGCAGGGTGGGCAGGAGGCAGAGAGCAACTGGGAGGAGGAAGCAGACCCTGCTGCGCCACACCCCGGGGCCACCTCCTCCCAGCGCCACATTCAGCTTGAGACTCACCCGTGGCCTTACCCACAGTTAGGGCTCTCGCTCACTCCCCCCAGAATCCCCCCCACGAATGCTTAAGGCTTTGGGGGACATCTAGAAATAAACCATAGCGTTTCTATAAAGTTACACAGAAGTTTCCCACCTTCATGGGAGTGTTCTTTCATGGTGGTCGCGGTTCACAGGCATTATCTGTTTGTCAGAACTCATTTGTACACAAAACAAAATTGGCAGACTTGGTTGTGCGCAAAGTATACACCAGGAGAGCTGACTGAAAAGGAGGCTGAATTCCTCTTCAGGGTCAGAGGCGAGGCTCGGGTCCCCACAGATGCGTGGCCACAGAAGGAACAAGGCGGCTTGGCCCCTAAGTCACTTATCAGCGGACACAGGGCACCACAGGAGGGGCCAGCCCCCCCTCCCCCGAGTGTGCAAAGGTCTGTCCCCGGGACAGAGAGGTGGAGGGTGTGTGTCTCAGTTGCTCTTCTCTCCTTGCTGGGACAACTACCTGAAACTCCAATGAAGGAAGGAAGGGTTTATTTAGCTCCAGAGTCACTGGAGGCTGCAGTCCATACTCGGCCGGCTCCAGGGCAGAGGGCAGCCTGTCATGGTGGCAGCAGAGAGCAGAGCACGCAGAAGGAGGAGGAGCAGCAGCGACGGCGGCAGGCAGCAAGCCTGCCTCTCTGTCTCTCTTATGTTCCATTCAGGCTACTGCCCCAGGCTGGCTGGAGCACTCACCCGTAATCCCGGCAGTACTCAGACCAATAATCCCAGCCTTGGATCACAGTTCATCACCAACTCTAGAAGTAAGTCTGCCCCATGACTGCATGAGGCTTTGGGGGGACAACTAGACACAAACCATGACAGTGTGCTAGGAAGACATTCCCGAGAGGCAGAGCTCATCCTGTGGGTTATTCTCTCTGGAATCAGAATGAGCCTGATTCAAACAGTATCCTGCAACAGTGAGGTAACGAGATCTCAGGGAGTGGCGTGGGGGACAGTGGTGTGCCTGTAGGTGGCGGGGTCTGCAGTCCAGGTCCCTCCTCTGCCTGCAGAGCCCTTTCCTCTGCCAGTGGGCATATATATAGGACCAGGGAATGAACAAGGTCACAAGACATGGCTTCCAAGTTCCTCCAGCTCAGCAGGCTAAAATAACACACCGTGTGGGTAGCCTTTTCTAGGCCTGGCCATGGGTTGCCACGGAAGGGTGTAGCTGTGGAACGATGCCTGGAGCTGCACACTCAGGACTTAGGAGTATCTGCAAACTATTCCTCAGGGTTTTTTTCTTTGCTTTTTTAATGTATTTAATACAGGGTCTCACTATGGACTCAGTGCTTCTTGTTTTCAGCCTCCCAAACCCTGGGATTATAGGCATGCACCACCACGCCATCTCTATTGTCATCTCAGTGCACCCCTGGGGCAGGTCCAGCATGGCACGGCACACCAGGGATCAAACCGCAGCCACTGTGTCTGCCTAAGGAGGCGCTTTAGTCCGCTGAGCTATCTGGCCGTCCCTATTCCTTTGTTGTTTTGGACAGGGTCTCATGGCATATTCAAGGCTGGCTGCAAGCTTTTGGTGATCCTCCTGCCTCAGCCTCCCAAGTGCTGGGATTGCAGACATGTGCCACTGTAGCCAGCTGGCACCTCAGTTCTAGAAGAAACAGAGGTGCCAGAGAGATAGCTCAATAGAATAAGCACCTGCCTGGCAGCACAGAGTCCTGAGTTCAATCCCAGTACCACAAAGGAAAAGAAAGAAAGAAAAGAAAAAGACAGAGAGAGACAGAGAGACAGAGAGACAGAGAGAGAGAGAGAGAGAGAGCGCAATGCCTTGTGGTTTGTGGTGGCCCACCTTGGGAGACTGAGGCAGGAAGATCAAAAGTTCAAGCTCAGCCTGCGTAACTCAGCAGACCCTGACTCCAAATGAAAAATTAAAAGAGGGCCCTGGGTTCAAACCCCTAGTTACCCCCTCAAAAAAAAAAAAAACAGTATAAGTAACAAGTAACCCCTGAGCGCAATTCCTAGAAACTGAGTTTTAATTGATCTGGGGATGGGCATGGGCACCATTCTATCTTTGGGGCTCTTGGGGACCCTCATGCTCCCCAAAATAGCAAACACTGATCACAGGCGCAGTGGGGATGTGTGCTGGCGCAGCATGCAGGCCGTGGAAGGGTTGGGGTTCACAGGTCACTGTGGTGTGGGTCAGGTGGGCAGAGCCCGCCCAGGAGCCCAGCCACGTGCTCCAGCCCCTGTCCCGCTCCCAGGGAGATCATGATGGCCACGGATGAGACCTCCCAGGACACCATGCGGCTCCAGTTCAAGGCAATGCAGGAGCTGCAGCACCGCAGGCTGCAGAAGCAGATGGAGGCCAAGAGGGACAAGAGCTTGCGCCTCCAGAGCCATGCTGGTGACCAGGAAGGGCCCTCAGGGGTCCCCGATGACCTCAGCCCCCTCCTTGCTGGGGAGCAGGACTTGCAGGGTGTCTTCCAGCAGAGGTGAGGAGGCTGAGGCTGAGCCCCCAGCCCCGGGCTGCAGGCAGGTGGGGTCAAGGGTGTGAACGAGGATGCACCAGGTGAAGGTGTGCAGTCAAAGTGGTTTCCATGTGGAGGCTGTTTTAGAACAGCCCTTGGATCTGCTACAGCCACGTGCCTGAAGGCCAAATTTGATACGAAACGTACCTGAAAAACCATGTAAAATCAGCTTGAACATTTAAAGGGTCCTCAGGATATATTTTATGCCCTGGTTTAATTTTTTTATTGGATTGACTGACTGATTGTTTGACTGTTTGACTGCAGTGTGGGGCTGAACCTGGGCCTTTGCACTGAGCTACATCCCGCTCATTTGTTTATAGTTTGAGACAGCGTCTGACTGTTGCTAAGTTGCCCATGCTGGGCCCGAGCCTCCTGCTCGAGGTTGGGAGCCTCCTGCCTCGGCTTCCCAGGCCACAGGGATCACCGGAGGGCACCCCCACGCCCAGCTTTATCATCACTTCCCCCATCTGTCCCTGAGGGCTGCATCTGCGTCCCTGAGGAGCTGGCCCTCAGATGACCGTGGCGGCACATCCCTCTAGGACTGCCATCCGTGGCCAGCTTGCTCACCGCCAGGGTCCTGCTGCTGGCCTCCGCCCCTTCACAGCTGGTGGACAAGTTGCGAGTCTCAAGGCCCCCTCAGGGGCTCTGACCCTGACATCTGCGCAGGCCGCAGGTCCACACCACTCGCAGGTGCTGCTGCCGCCAGCCTGTCCCCGCTTCTGCTTTGCTCTGGGATAGTTCTAACGTTTCAATTTTTTATCACCTTCAAATTCTGGTTTTTTATAGATTCTGTTTTCAAAATGACCGACTTTAAAATGCCAACTGGAAAAAACAAGTATTTCTAACAAATGAAGGGTTTTTTTATTTTTTGTTTTTAATCAGATGGCTCCTAAGCATCAGCTCTGTCAACTCCAGACCCACTTCCGAATGAGCTCTCCCCAGAGCAGGCAGCCGGGTTGGTGGAGCCCTGCGCCTCTGCTGGGACAGCAGCGCAGTGGGGACGCACAGGCTGCCCGCAGACGCCCTGCTCTGGCGGCGCCTCCACCCGTGCCTGACAGCGGTGAGCGCTGCTCAGGGCCCCTCAGCTCTGAGAGCCGCCCAGGACAGCTGGGAGCACGGGAGCCGCTGCCTCTTCTGGGGTAGCTTTTGCACTTGTGTCACTTCTGCCTGCACCCTGGAAACTGGGCCTCAGTTTAAGGCTTACAGACATCTCTACAGTCTGCCATTGTGCGTGCGTGCGTGCGTGCGTGCGTGCGTGCGTGCGTGTGTTCTGCTGAAGCCACGTCAGAGTGCCTGCCTCCCACGCGCGTGCCAGAGCTCCCGCGGCCCGGCGCCCTAAGGCGTGCTCGTGCTCGCTCCTTACGGCTTCTTTACCAGCATGATTTGGGAGCTCACTTTTTAAGTTCCACATGAACAGTGGCCTTTGGGTTTTGTTTTTAATGCTCTTTTATGTTTTGATTTATTTTTGTTGGTATGTCCCGAGACAGCCCCCCGTGGGTGGCTCAGCCTGCCCTGGGGACGGGGCTGGCACAGCATATGGTGCTAGGGATCGAGCCATGTGCTTGCCTAAGCTTGCCTGTGCAGGTGATTCTGACCACAGGCTCTTATTACACAGCCCAGGCTGGCCCCAAGCTCCCAATCCTTCTGTGTCAGCCTCCCGAGTGCTGGGATCACAGGCGTGTGCCATCACGCCTGGCTATTTCTTAGTATTGTTAGAGCACTGATTTCTAACTTTTGTGCACAACCACTGGCCAAGTGCTCTGTGTGAACAGAATGCCTCTGAGAATGCGCTAGCACAGGCTTGTGCCTGACGGCCCATTTTTACACGCGTCTCGAGGCCTCGGTACGTGTTCCCTGAGTCGGAGTTTCATGGCAGACTTCTTGCAGCCCTGGTGGGCCATGCCTTCAAACCTCCTTCCTCCTCAGGCTGCTGGGCCCACACCGTCTGCCCGCTTAGCCCTGGGAAGCGCGCCTCCCCGTCGCCTCCCTTTCTGTGCCAGTGCACCCTTGCCACCGGGGCCTACCCAGCCCTGCGCTCCGCCTTGCCTTTCAGGGCGCTAGAAGATGAGATCCAGCAGCTACGCGAGGAGCTCCGGGAGACGACGGATGAGAATGGGCGGCTGCATAAGCTGCTGAAAGAGAGGGACTTCGAAATCAAGCACCTCCGGAAAAAAATAGAAGAGGACAGACTGGCCTTCGCAGGTAGCAGCTCCACCAGGCCCATCCTGCCCTGCAGCCCAGGTCAGCCTGGTTGCCACGCTGGTGCCACAGGCCGGGTGCCCAAGAGGCAGCACCAGGGCCCAGCTGTGCTCACATGTGTCTGGCTGCATCCTGGAAGTGAAGGGGAGGGAAGGACGAGAGCAGGGAATGTGGGCGCCGTGGGCAGGTACCCCACAGTGCTGGCGGCCCAGCTGGACTTGGGACTGGGCTCCCTGCTGTACATGAGCGTGGTCTGCAGCTGGGAGGAAGGGCCCGTCCCCCTTGGCATACTGGTTTGGGCGCAGTGTCATGGCCATCACAGGCAGAGTGGAGTCAGGCACCAACCCTGCCGTTCTGCTGTCCCCCAGGGGCTCCTAGTGGGGACCTTGGACCCAGGAACCTGGTGAGCACCCGGGCTGCCCTTGGCTCTGTGGTTATGAATCCGACCTGGCCCTGCAGGAGATGGGCCGGGCCCCTGGCCTGGCTGCTCCACTTTCTGTACACCGTGGAGCTTCCTCAGGAAGCCAGTCAGCCAGCAGGTAGTGGTCACCGGCCACAGGGCCACAGGGCCACAGGGCTGATCCCCCATCCACCAGCGCATCCCCCTGCGCAGACCCGAGCCTGGCAAGCCAGGGCCACAAGGGGCTTGGTGTCTGCAGTGCACAAGGGGCTTGGTGTCTGCAGCCCAGGCAGCCTTGCGCACCACCCTGCTCTCTTCTGATTTGAAGATCAACCGCTCCCCCTGCTGGGGATCCCATGGCTGAGACTCAGCTGCAGTTGCCGGGCTGTGAGGAGGGTGGCCACTCCAGGGGTGTGGGGGTCTGGCTGCGCCGTGCCTCTGCAGCTCTGGCCTGGCAGTGCCCTCCTAGGATCTGCAGCCCCAGTCTTCCTGAAAGCTGCTTAAATCCATCCTGCACCCTGAAGTGTTGGCTGTTGATCCCAACCTGAAAGGGGACAGGGAGCAAGAGGCAGGGGTGCGGGGTGCTTTTGGAGTTTTGTGCATTTATTTGGCTGATTGATTTGTGGCACTGCGGACTGAAGCCAGGACCTTCATGCTGAGCTGCTGGGCCCAAACTTCTGGCCCTCCTGCCTCAGCCTCCTGCAGCGCTAGAATGCAGGTTCTACCATGCCTGCCCAACCTCATGTTTCGGGCTGATCCCATCAGCGTCCTAAGCCAGGCCACAAGGGACAGGCTACTGGCAGCTGAGGGCCATTTTCTCTTGGCTAGATGTTTAAGGAATGCTTTAGTGATTACAAAGCACTTAACCCTTTGCGGTCTATTGCAATTAGTATCTCACCACAGCAAGGGAAAGCAGCACTTGGCCACCACAGAGCCCTGCACCCTGCCGCTTTTAGATGCATCAGACCAGGCTTATTGAGAATCTTGTTGATGCTGGCATTGCCAACAACCACTATCCACATTTTAGGGCACTTAAGGAGACAAACACAGATGCTTACTGGGTCCTGGCCCTCCTGGGCTTTCCCCATACTGTCCCACCTAGTGAGGAGGCTGCAGTGTCAGGACTGCACTGCCTGCAGCCAGACAGCCTGGGAGAAGGGGCATAGGGAGAGGCCCCCAGTCTCTGGCCCCTGCCTCTGGGCTTCTCACAGCCTGCTGCTGAGAGCTCCTTCCGGACCTGCACAGGTCCCAGGGCCTGGGAGGAAGCCGGAACCTAGGAATCCGCCCGGGCCCAGCTGCGCTTCCAGGCCTGTCTCCGCCCTCATGTGCTGGCTGCCCCGCTTTCTGTGCGCTGTGGAGATTCCTCAGGGGGCCAGTCAGCCAGCCGGTAGTGGTCACCGGCCACAGGGCCACAGAGCCTGTCTGTCTCAGCCTCTGGCCTCTGAGGCACGCTATCCAACACCCAGAGTGTCAAGGAGGGGAGGCTGAGTCATGCTCCCAAGTCGGGGGTGCAGTTCATGGCCGGCTAGTTCCATGGCAGAAGTGTCATGGTGGAGCGGCTCACCACATGGGACCGGGATGCAGAGAGAGAGCAGAGGAGGGCAGCGGCCCCAGGCCCCCAGTGCCCACCTCCACCAGGCCCTGCCGCTCGCAGCGCACTGACTGTGAGCACAGGGGTAGCTCATCTGCACCCCAGACCTGGTCACATGCGTGCACGTGAGGGGGCTGCCAGCTGGAAGCTGTCGTTTGCCCCAGCATCCTCACCTCACTTCCTCACACATCCGTCCCGGGGCTTGGGTCCTCAGTGGGAACAGCAGGGTGACGCATACTTCCTCTGCTGCTGCAGAGCTGCTGAGAGTGGGTCTCCCCAGCTGCTAGATTGGTGATGTCCCCAGTGACCTCTCCACGTCCCTCCCAGTCCATGGCATGCCACGTGTCACACGCAGGACCAGGGAGCCAGCATGGCCTCCTGGTGCTCGGGGTGCCTGTCCCCTCCAAGCTCCAGGGCCTCACGTGGTCTATTCTGAGCCCTCAGCCTTGGTGTGCCCTGGTCCTCCTCTGCACCTGTGAGGTCCTCACAGTTGCCCCACTGTGGCACTGCCCAGCAGGGTAGGAGCCCAGGTGGAGGCCTGGAGACTCCTAAGTGTTCCCATGTGCGCTCCGGTGCCACCCCGTCCTGTTCCAAGGCATGACATGGCCTCCTAGAAGGAGGACGAGGGGCTGTCTGTGCCAGGCACCTGGGGCCGGAGTGTCAAAGCATTTGGGGAACTTGCAGACCATCAGGCTAACCAGCCCCCTCCTGTCCTTGTCGCCAGCCACGCCTTCCACTGTCCCTTGCTGTCCTCCCTGTTCCCCCAGCCCCCTCACCTCCTTTCTGACCCTCAGAATCTCCAAGCCAGCTCTGCCCTCTGTGTAGAGCCCCCCACCCCCACCTCCCCTGACCGCTGGGTCCTGGGCAGACTGCTCAGGCCCTGTCTCCCTCAGCGTGGAGGTCTCACTTCACGCCACAGGCCCGATGCCTCCACACGCTCCATGCAGCTTTGTGGCTTAGTCTTCGTGACCTGTCTTCCTGCTAGACCGTAGACTCCAGGAACCCCTTTTCCTGCACTCGGCAGCCCCGTGAACACTTCCTAAATGAACGCATGTGTCTAGAGTGGTCAGGTGCTGCTACAGAAGTCCGTGGAAGAGACGAGCCCTCTGTCTCAGCGGCTTCTGGCTGTGAGCGTTCACTGGCTCGAACCTTGGCTCTCCGCGGGGTTGGCCAGCCCGGCCCCAGGCCCCGTCCTTCCCGGGACTGGCCTGCTAGCTGGCTCACGTCAGATGGTGCGAGCGATGACATCAGCTTAACAAGTGCCCCCAAGCCCTGCCTGTGCCCAGGGCCAGCGGGCAGAGAAGGGAGGCTGCCCATCACCGGAGGCCCTGGGGGAAGACCTGGAGCACGAGCCGACCCCCACAAGCTAAAACTGCCCTGCAGTTCTCTCTCTCCCTGGGGAAGGGCAGGGAGGGATGCGTTTCTTTCCCGAGCCTTGCCTCAGATCTGGGTGCTCGGTCTCGAGGCTCAGCCCTGGAAAGCCCCAGCGCTGTCGCTGTGCAGCCCGGAGCGCCATACTGGTCTTTCCTCTTGACCTTGCCATTCCCCGTCTTAGGCATGGCCGGCCCTGCGGGAGACATGGTTGCCACCAAAGTCGTGGAGCTGTCCAAAAGGAACCGCATGCTGGTGGCTGAGTCGGAGGGCGCACAAACGAGGGTGAAGCAGCTGAGTGGCCGCATCCAGGAGCTGGAGCGGGAGGTGAGGGCCTTGCTGCCCTTCCTCGGGGGCCGGGGCCCCGAGTGCCCAGGGCCACCAGGGCAGAGGGGACCTCACCTCCAGGGGCCCAGCTGCACAGGAGCAGGCCAAGGAGCAGTGGCTGTGAGCCAGTCACTGCCCTTGGTGCCAAGTGGAATCTTCTCTATTCTGTGGCACAGTTCAGGGTTTGGTTTGGTTTTGGTTTGGTTTTGGGAAGGTGTTTTGTTGATGTTTGAGACAGGGTTTCACTAAGCAATTCAGGCTGGCCTTGAACTCTCAGCGATCTTCCTGCTTCACCCTCTCAAGTGCTGAGATTACAGGTGTGCCCCACCATGGCCAGCAAAGGTCCAGCTTTTTGAGCCCCATCTCAGGTCCTGAACCAGGCCCTCAGGGCAAGGCAGGGCTCAACATAGCTATGGCCTCCCCAGAGACAGAGCAACGGGGGCGTGCAATGTGGCTGTCACCCAGATGAGGAGAGAGCAGCAGACAGGGCTGGGGCTGCCTGCGGGGCCAGACAGGGCGCAGAGGGGGGCCAGCAGGGGCCACAGCTTGAGCAGCAGCAAGGCCTGAAAGCGGCCGGCGTGGTCCACAGCAGCACGGACCGGGGGCTCAGGGGTGGGGGTCCATCCCGTTCTCCTCATCAGACAGGGTCAGGGCCTTGGTTGAGGAGCATCAGGATGTTACGAAGGCCTTGTGTCCCTGGCACCCTGAGTCCTGTGCCCCTCGCCTCACCTTGTCCCCAAGCCCACCTCCTCCATCCCCACCTCCTGAGCTGGGTTGGGCTCAGCACCACTATCTGGAGAAGCCCTGGGCCGCCCTTCCTGTGCATTCAGAGTGGGGCAGGCAGTCTGCAGAGGAGCCCCTGCACGTGCCCCCAAGGCAGCTGAAAGGGCAGACACCCCACAGGTTTGTAACTGCACACCCTGCATACCAGGGAGCTTTGCAGAATTAAATATTAAGGGCAAGATTTGCTTTTTCAGCTGCAGACAGCCCTGGCCAGGCTGCCAGCCCAGGGGGCCACAGACGCAGGAGCCAAGCCGCCGAGGGCCCCGATGGGAGATAGTGCCTTGGTATGGACATGGCCTGTGTGGGGGTGGCAGGGTGGCGTGGCCTTGTCCCTTCTCTTCCTCCCCCTGCCCCCTCCTCTGCAGAAGCCAGGTGTCTCTGCCCCACCAGCTGGTGTGGGGCAGCCCTCAGGGAATGGTACCCAGTCCGTGGGATTCAGTCCCCAAGTAGGGTGGGAATGAGGGACTGAGGCCTCGGGAACTCTAGAGCAACCTAGAGCCTCTGGCTTGTGCCCACTGCTTCCTGCAGGGCCCCACCACCTCACCACCCTTCAGCTCTCTACCCCGGGCACCCTCAGCAGGTGGCTTATGCTGTCTCAGGCGCTGGGCTTCTCCTGGCTATGCTGCCCCAGGTCACTGCACTCAGTGGCCTGGAGGACAGGATGGGCCCCAGCCTTGGGGAGGCAGTGGGATTCTCTGAGCAGGGCCCTGGTCCACAGGTGTCGGGGAGGGAGAGGGGTGGGCACACGGAGGAGGGGTAGCAGCCTCAGGGAGCAGGCTCAGGGACCACTGGGGTGGGGACGAAGGGAGCACCAGGCACCTGAACCTTCCTGGTGGGGAAGACCACATGGGGCCTTGGGGTCTCCAAGGGAGCTGCAGGGTCGTTCACATGGATGACCTCTGCAGCCCCCACAGCTCACAGGGCCAGTGGGAGCAGAGTCAGGGAGCCTGCACAGGGTGGTTCTGACGGCAGTGTGTGTCAGGAGGACCTCTGGTCAGGAGGCCGCAGGGGCTGAGCTAGGGCTGTGACTATGTCCTGCCCCACCAGGAGCTCCATGGAGCTCCTCCTAGGGACCCATGAGCCGCCTTCACCCTGGCATCCACAGGAGAGAATAGAAAACCCCTGTAGCACCCACCTGCCTGCCAGGGGTGCTGCTGCCTGGGTGTAGGGTGGGGCAGAGGTCTCAGCGCAGGCCACTGTGGCAGAAGTGGAGGGAGGTCACCGGGCTGGAAGGCCCAGGCTTCTGTCCTGGGCACCGCTGCAAGCTGAGGGCACGCACTGCCCCTGTTTTTGTGCTGTTTGGGAGGAGCTCAGGCAGGGCCTGGAAGGTCTGGCAGAGACCGGCGTTCAGCACAGCACAGAAGAACACGCAGGTGGACGCTGCAAACCTGCATCGAATGTTATTTTTTCTTCCCCTCAATTTTTTTTTCAAATGTTATTTAAAAAAATTAAAAACAAACCAAGATCCAGCAGGCAGTCTTCATGGCTGCTACAGTTCTTCAGGAAACAGAGATGGAGGGCTCGGGGCCTTCACTTGGGCCTTCTTGCTGTTCAGTGCCTCCAAGTCAAGCCCATGGTGCTCGGCTGCAGGGCCCTGGCCCAGGCCCGCGGTCTGGTTCCTGGAGAGGGAGGCCCTGTGGGGAGGTCACGGTCCTCCTGTGAGTGAGCGCATTCCTCTGCTCTGCACAAGGCCTCAGCCCAGGCCCCACCCCCCCAGCCAGGTGGCCAGGCCAGGGGCTTCCCAACCAGGACCCCAGGGGCTCATGAGCAGGGGACAAAGTGTGTGGTATCTGCTTGGGAAAGGGGCAGCAGCTCTCAGTACCTCAGGTGACAAACGACCAGTCTTCCTGTCCCTCTAACCAGCCAGAGATCCCCGAGGTGAAGGCCCTGCAGGACCGGCTGGCAGCCACGAACCTGAAGATGAGTGACCTGCGCAACCAGGTCCAGGCTGTGAGGCAGGAGCTGCGTGCAGCCCACAAGGTCCTCCAGAGTGTGACTGGTCTGGCGTGGCTGGGGCGGAGGCTCTGGAGATAGCACCGCAGGAGGTTGCCCCAGTCCCGTGCCAGTGGGCGGGCTGCGCAGGGGCCGCATAGCGAGTGTGCGCCCCCCTCTCTGGGCTGAGCACAGCTCTGCCCACCCAGCCAGGGGTCCTCAAGCCTCTCTGCGCATGTGTGCACACCGGTGGTTCCTGGGTCTGCACTTTGGCTGGGAGGCCAGCCAGCACTGTCCCCAGTGCGGCACCCCATGGACAGGCAGCCGGGTGTTCAAGGCCCCTTCCAAGGAGACGCTCAGGCTTGGAGCCCAAGCCCAGGGGCTCGCACTTATTTCTGTTTATGTGGTGAATTCTCTGGCATTCTCCTTTCCCTCTGGAACCACTCAGCCTAGCCAAGATTCCCCACACAATGCAGCATTGTGGAGACAAGCACCAGAGACTTGGCAACTAGGCAGGGCTTTGTGCGTGCTGCACAGGGGCCCAGGGCCCAGGCTCGTGCCACCGCCAGGCCTCAAGGCGAGGCCAAGCCCCAAACACTGCAGCCCCAGGGCTGGTTCCCTTGCACTCCGACGGCCCTCACCCTGGCTCTTCATGGAGGTCCCTGAGCATTCGCAGGGGTGACAGTGAGTGGGCCCCAGAAGCAGGTGCAGGTCAGTGTCCCGCCCCCATGGGATGTGTCGGGTGCTGGGGTCCCTGGCGGCACTGACTCAGGAAATGCTGGGGGTAGCGCGTTCCCTATCTTTCCAGGGTGTCTTGGCCTTTAACCCTGGCTTGGCGGTGCACTGTCAGGCAGAGGACCGGGTGTGGAGCTAGGCAGGGTCCTGGGGGCCCCACCTACCAGAACTGCTGCTGAGGGGCCAGGTGAAGCCCACAGTGACGAAGCCCTGCCTGCCTCCAGGTTTTGGCCAGCGAAGTTGGGGAAGATGTGAACGTGCAGCAACTCCTATCCTCGCCAGGGACCTGGAGGGGACGAGCTCAGCAGATCCTTGTCCTGCAGAGCAAGGTGAGTGTTCCCCTGCCAGGCCTCGCCTGCCCCGGCTCGCACCAGAGACCCCGACACCAGGTTCTGCAGAGCCGGCCGCAGGCAGCTCTGCCCGTCCTCCCCCGCCAGCCTGACTCTAATTTGTTAGCAGCAAACACTTATGTAACAGTGCGTTCCAGCCCCTGGTTCTAAGGAGCACCAGTACCTTTGGCTCCACTTCCTGTGCTCCAGGCCTGTTTTCCCCCCACTACATCTAAATTTGCGTGACTGTTGTAATTGTACACTTTTCCAGTTTCATCCAGATGCATGCAGGCCTTTGAATGTTTTCATTACCCAGGGAAAGCCGAGGCTTGCCTCCCTGTTTGTTTCCTAAGTGTCTGAGGCATTCCCAGGAGGCTGAGAGCTGGGCAGGAAGCCCTGTCCTCCACCCACCCAGCGCTCACACGTGCTGGGCGACCTCCAGCAAGTTACTTCCAGGCTTGGCCTCAGCCTCCTCACCTGTGGAGTGGGGTAACAAGGGCCGCTGGGAGAACCGAGGGAGTGAATGCATGCAGAGTGCTTGGCTTGTGTAAAGTGCCCCGCTAGAGCGAGCGCAGTAGAGGCGGCCTGTCTCGGTCACTCTTCTCTCGCTGCTGGGACAAATACCCGACACTTACAACTGGGGAAGGAAAGGTTTATTTGGCTCCCAGTTGCTGGAGGTCTCAGTCCATGCTCAGCTGGCTGCAAGGCCGAGCGGCACATGGCCAGGGGCAGCCTTTCATGGCGCCGGCAAAGAGCAAGAGCGAAATTGAGAAGCAGCAGCAACAGTGGCTGCAGAGAAGTGTGTCCCCCTGTTGCCTTCAGGCTGGGCGCCCCAGGCTGGGCGGAGCACTCACACCCATAAGCCCAGCTATCATGAGTTAGTCATGAACTCTGGAAGTCCGCGCCATGACTGCGTGAGGCTTTGGGGGGCAACCAGACACAAACCACAATGCAGCTGCTGGCCTCTCCCCTTCTTGCGCGAGGTGTGTGATTTCCACTACCAGGCACATCGCCATTGCCGCCCAGGACGTCATCCCTCGTGTCCTGGTGGCTTTCAGACAACGGTAGTTGGTGATCAGTGCGAGGCCTTCCCCCTCCGTCACTGCTCTGACAAGTCTGTGACATTGCCGAATCTCCTCCCCTCTGAGCCTCAGTCTCCTCACCTGTAAAGGTGAATGATGCCTTCCCTGCGGGGTTGTTAGGGAGTAAATGGAATAACGCTCGCAGTGTCTGGCCACCATGAGCGCCGCCCACCTCAGTTCTTGTTGCTGTCAAGCTGTATATTACAGCTTTAAAGCAGTCCTGGGCTTCGAGCACCGAGCAGGGCCCCGAGTCAGCATCACGGGCCTGCTCTGGCTCTTCCCAGAGATCCTGGTAAATCTGCCTCCTTCCCTAGAAACTTAGTCTCCAGATGGAATGTGTTCTGCCTGCAACTTTGCTTCCAGTAGAACTTCGTGCAAGCTGCAGCTCTGGGTGTGTGCACAGGGGAGGCAGATAGGAAGGACCCAGGAGCTCGCTGCTAGCCCCGGTGTGACAAGGCTTTCGTTCCATGGGGTGACAACCACTCACCGTGAGCGCTCATGTGCCAGGCTCCACATGAGGGCTTGACCTGGACTCCCTTGGGGTTTCTCAAAGTTGCCTCATCCTAAAAGTCACCCCGGGGACCCCGAGATTTACCACTGCAAGAAGTCTTGGTGGACTTCACGTCAGGCGTGTTCGGGACACTGAAGGTTCTTTACAACACTGCAGTGTTTCTCCTGAGGCGTATTTTGGGTTGAGGGAGCTGAGATGCGGGCAGGGGTGAAGTGGCCTGTGCAGTCATTCGGCAGCCAGGCTCTGAGCAGCTCCTGCCGGAACCCGCTCTCAGGAGCCTCTGTCCTCAGCGGTCCCTTCCTGAGCTCCTGTCCTGAGACCCGGGGCCGCCCATCTGCTTCTGGGTCCTAGCAATGGGGGCCGAGTCTCTTGTCTACACTAAGCCTCTCTGGCCCTCACCTGCTTTTTCTTTTTTTTGTACCAGGGATCAAACCTTGGGGCCTTGTGCCTGTCAGGCAGGTGCTTATGCCGCGGAACTGTCTCCCTGGCCCTGGCCCTGGTCCTCACCTGCTCTGCTCAAGAGGCCAGCGCAGGTCCTCCCACCTGGGCCCCTGCTGGGGCTCCCACAGCCCTCTGGGCAGTGGCTCCGTCCTCAGTCCCAGCAGGGTCTCCTGTTTCCCTGAATCGTGGTGTCTATGATACCAGCTCCAGGTAGAATGAGGAGTTTTACTGCCCTCAGGTCCGGGAGCTTGAGAAGCAGTTGGGACAGTCCCGGAGCAGGTCTGCGGGGACAGCCTGTGACGAGCTGTCTGTCCACCCAGACCCCAGGAAGCTGTCACCAAAGGAGAGGAACATGCAGAGGATCCGCAGCCTGGAAAGGGAAAGGCAGGAAGGCTGGGAGGTAAAGACTGGGTCGGGAGGGCCTGGTGGTGTGGGGAGCGGGAGATGCCTGGGGCTGAAGTCCCCTGTGGTGGGGAGGGAGGCAGGCGGGTGGGGCGGGGATAGAGAGGGCAGGGTGGAGGGTCGTGCTGCCCTGTGAGAGGGCTCTGCCCCGTGTAAGCCGCAGACGGAGCTGGGGGCCCTGCTCTGGTGCCCTCGCTCTGGGCATGGCCGGCTGGAGACTTGGGGTCTTTCTTAGGTCTGGCTTGCCCACTCTCCCAGAGGACCCCACCCTCCTGCCCAGTCCTACGGTGCTTCTGATGAGCTCCCAAGTTCACCCTCCAAGCTGACCACGGGGCCCAGGGCCAAGCTGCACAGCAGCCTCCTAGCATGGGCGAGCGTGGGGGGTGGGGCCACTGCAGTATAGGAGAGGGTGTGGCGGTGCCAGCCGCCTTGGGGCAGGGCCCTTGACAGCCCAGCTGGGCTTCTTGGCACCCAGGCCTTTGCTTCTCAGCAGGATGTGAGGTCCAGGAAGACCTTGTGCCGGCTCCCAGGACCTCCCCACACTGCACCCCCCAGCATTCCAGACCACTAGGCTGTGCGGAGACAGGGACAGGTCTTCAGGCCTGGGCTCCAGCCCCCATCTGGAAGGCGGTGGAGAATCCCAAGGGTTTTGAGTAGCTGGGTTATGTTCACCCAGGGAACCTTGGAGAAGTCATGTGGCCAGGGGAGGGGAGGCAGGGGTGTCCACATAACCGGGGACAAGGACCTGCAGGTGGTGGGGACTGAAGTGGCGCAGGATGGAGCCCAAGTGGCTCCGTGACTGAGGGTAGGTAGCAGAGAGCCCTGTAGAGATGTCGAATGGTGGGGTTCCAGGCGCGGAACCTGCAGAGAAGGCAGAGTGGGAGATCCACTCACACAGCAGGACCTGTGCCCCAGCAGCAGGGCCAGAGCTGTGTCCCACCAGCCTGTCCCCTCTGGGACAGAGCAGGGGCCACATCTCCCATGATTGGGGCACTGGGCATCGGATCAGAGCAGCTAGGGCTCTTGGCTTGTACCTGGGTCCTGCCTTCCCGGGCACCAACACACTGCCCCACCATGGCCTGTGTTCCCTCCTCCCCTGCGCTCTCTGCCACACACCTCCTGTCCCCTGTCCCTCTTGTCAGCCTGCACTTGACGCATTGGGATGTCACCTATCACCTGTGCTCCTGCTAGGAGCTCTGCTTCTTGGAAACAAGGGTCTCCCGGTGCCCTAGCCAGGGTGCCGGGTGGGAGCCAGGACTGAGCCACCTGCTTCCCGACACAGAAGCTCTTGGGCGAGCGCGATGCCCTCCAGGGCGAGCTGGAGGGGCTGCGGAGGAAGTTTGAAGGTGTGCGCTCCCGGAATAAGGTCCTGTCCAGCGAGGTGAAGACACTGCGGGGCCAGATGGGGACCCTGGCAGAGAAGGGCAGGCATGACGACGAGCTCGTTGACGCCCTCATGGTAGGCACCCTCGCCCCAGAGCCCACACCTGCCGGGCCACGACAGCCTGGGCCCAGAATGCCTGTGTAGACAGAGCATGAGCCCTGGCCTGGGGACCTGTGCAGAGGACAAAGGCTAGAGGGGTGAGGTGGGCCGGGCTGGGGTTCCTCCTCTAGCAAGACAGATGCCAAGGGCCATGGGGCCATGCCTGTCTGCTGTTCATTCCAAGACTGTGTCAGAGGCCTGGGTCAGGGTCTCCTCTGCCCGGTTATATAACAGCTCTGACTGGGGACTCCTGACCATCAGGCTGCCCTCAATGAGTGAGGCCGCACTGTGGTGCTGACCCATGGCCTGGGCCTCCCTGTGGCACCTGAGGCCCCCAGGGTTTAGGGCCTGAATCCCAGCTAGTACCCACCTGCCCCAGGGCTCATCCCTAGTTGGCATGGAACCCAGGTTGGAGTCTACCTCTGTCCTCCCTGACTGGTTAAGCCCAGCTCAGGCACTGCCCCTTCCTGAGCTCAGCAGCCAGTCTCTGTAGTGAGGTCCGTCCGGGCTGGGGTTAACCTCCCCTCGAGTCCCCATGTGCGAACTAGCCCTGTTCCCTGTTCTCCACTCCTCCACCCTTCTGAGAGGCTATATTGCTCTTGCTGTGGTCCTGCTGTGGGCAGCTGCTGCCCAGGAGTCTTCATGGGGCATTTCCAGGGCATGGGCATCAGGCGGGTGCCAAGAGCTCCGAGCAGGGGTCAGGGCTCTTCCTCCAAGGGCAGCCTCCAGCAAGGTGGGATGGGCCTGCTTTTACCCCCGCTCTGGCCCACCGGTGAAGAGCACTCACGCTCCTGCCCCTGTCCCCCTGGCCTGAGTTCCCAGCGGGCTGTGGTGTGCTGTGCCACTGTCAGGTTCTTGTGGCCCAGGGAAGGGACAGAGGTCACTTTGAGCAGCCAGGACTGACCCCGCTAGCTGGCCTGGCCCCCAGGAGCAGCTGAAGCAGCTTCAGGAGACACTGAGGAGCCTGAGCCTGCAGGAGGAGAAGATGCACGCGTCCCAGCGCTGCCAGGACCAGAAGGCCCACAGCGAGGCCCAGAGGAGCAGCAGCCTGGTAGCCCAGCTGCAGGCCATGGTGGCCGAGCGGGAGGCCAAGGTGCAGCAGCTGGAGCTGGAGATCAGGCAGCTCGGCATGCAGGTGAGAGGGCACGGCGTGGGGCAAGGGGCACCGGACAGCCCAGCATCCTCTCCTCGCACTGTCAGGAAGGACAGGTCCCCTGCAGGTCACCAGCCAGACAAGTTGGTCTGTTTCCTCAGACCGGCTGGGGAGGGGCTCATGACAGCTGCTGGGGGCCCGTGCCAGCTGTGCCCTCCTCAATGGGTAGAGCATGAGGTCCCCTGACCTCCTCTGAGGGTCCCCTGAGGTGTCTGGGGAAGGAAAGGGGGGGGCCCTGACCAGCAGCAGCAGCCAGCCTGAGTCCCTGTGCAGACGTCAGAGCCTGACCTGGCTCGGTCCACAGCCTCACACCTGTGCCCAGCTTTCTGAAGAGAGGCACTGTGGGCTGTCATTGTCATGCAGGCTGTGCCTCCCCACACAGGCCTCACTGTCAAGGAAGAGGAGCTGCGCTCATGTCCCACAGGGCCCGGAGCCCGGCCAAGGCCTCTGTGCCAGAGCCTGAAATGGAGCCTGCGTCTGTCCCCACAGTACCTCCAGGACAAAGGAGCCAGCACCGGGCCCTCTGGGCCTGAGGTCCAGCACTTGCGCCCTGGCTCGGCCAGGTCCCCGGGCTCCTCAGGCAAGCACGCCAGCCAGCTGGGATCCTCTCGGTGAGCATGCCTCCGATATTAGCAAGCAAGCCCACCCCCCGCCTGGGAAGCCACAGCTGAGGGGTGCCCCCAGCATGTGAACAGGCTCCAGCCGTGGGGACAGGCCTCGCTGTGATGCCCCCTTTGAGCCGGGCCCCAACACTTTGTGAGGAGGCCCACGCTGGGTGCCTCCACTGCTAATGTCCCTCTGGCCACCCACAGCGCCGTGAGCAGCCTGGGCCACACACTGGTGGAGTCCGCACTCACGAGGCCATCTCTGTCTGCCCCCCAGGGGACCACACCCAGGTACGAACCCTGAATTCCGGCTCAGCCAGGGCCCCCATCTCATGAGGAGAAGAATCAGAGGAGCTGAGGCGCGAGGCCTCAGAGCTGTGGCCCAGGCCTTGCCCTGCTACCTCCTGCTGCCAGGGGCAGGCGCAACCCAGCAGCAGACCTTCCAAGCCTAGAATGCTTGGTCTCTGGGGCGCTGGGTCCAGTGGCTCCTGCCCTAAGCCACCGGTGTCCTGTGTCTCAGCTTCCTTTTGTTGGTAGAATCAGCCTGCGGCTTGAACGAGGGCTTTGTCCTGGCTGCCAGCTCACAGACAACGGTGGCTTTGTCCTGTCGCAGCCCACTGGAGCCCTGCTTCTGTGTCAGCAGACTCAGTCCTTGGGCAGGTCCCCTGGGCCCAGCAAGGCTGTGAGTGGGCCCCATCCCCCTCCAGTCTCACTCTGGCTCCAGGCAAGTTGGGTCCCTCTCTGGGCAGCCCCAATACAGGCCCTGCCTGCTGAGCTCGTGGCCCCTGCCCCCAGGGACAGGCAGTGTCCTGGGCTGGGCTGGTCACTGGCATGGCTTGTGCATACTCTTCAAGGTGCGGAGTGAATAGAGGGACAGCCCCTTCCTCTGCTCCTTGGCCCCTGCTGGTGCTGTGGAGGGGACAGCTGTCCACGCTGTGACTGCATAGCCTGGCTTGGGTGCAGGCTCTGGTTCACAGGCTGGGACAGGAGGTGGCCCACGGTGCTAGCTGCACTACCCAGGGCCAGGGCCACTGGACCCTGCAAGCCCACTGAGTGCTCAGAGGGAGCAGGCCTGCAGACCATGACCCTCACCGCCTCTGCTGAGTGGGACCCAGGGCCACCCAAAGGGAGGCCCTGCCCGGGTTGTATGTCCAACCTTGCTGAGCAGCAGCCCAGGGTCACATGTGGACTCAGGGTGTCAGGGTGGGGTCCCTTTCATCCTGGCCCCTGCCACCCACAAGGAGGAGAATGGGGCTTGGAGTGAGTGAGGAGGGAGTGATGGGCTGGGCGCAGACCTAAGGCCAACACTGGCCATGGGCAAGACAGCCAGGCCCCAGGAGCTGCCTCAGCACTGTGCCCCAGCGTGGGAGCCAGCATCTGCTGCAGCTGGCTGGACCCTAGACCTGTGGGGACCATGCAGACCACGGCACTCCCGCCACCATGACGACTTGGCAAGGCCTGGCGGGGCCCCTCCTCTCTGACTGTCGTCCTGAGCCCAGGTGTCCTTCCTGCCCTGCCACTGTCCCAGGCGTGAGTGTGTCTCTTCTGGCCTCGATGACCTCTGCCCTCCGCCCTCCACCCTGGCCTAGGTTCTCAGACCCAATGGAGCAGGAAGGCTGGCAGGCTCAGGTGGCAGAGACCAAGGCTCTATGGCAGGCCACCGAGGTGGAGCGGGACCGGCTCGCTGAGTTTGTCACTGTGCTGCAGAAAAGGTAATGCCTGGCCCGGGAGTACAGGAGAGGACACCCCCAGCCCAGACCCTTCACTGGTCCAGGGCAGCTCCAGCTCCAGCCTTGGGCCCCCCAGAAGCCCCACAGCCTTGGGCCCTGCCGGCACGCTGCGGTGTCTGTCTGTAGCCCTGTCCTAGCCTGGAGTCCTGCTTTGGAGCAGTCCTGGGAGGCCTGGTGGCAAGAGGCTAGGCTGGGCTGGTAGCTGTGGGGACAGAGACCGCTCTGGGAACACCGTGGACAGGAAATCCAGAATCCTCCAATGGCTTTTGGCAGCCTTCACATGAATAAATAGTGCTTGCTTGAGTGGCCCGTGGCAGGGACCGCAGGTGCCCAGGCCAATGCTCACCCTGCCTTGGTCACACCACACTGAACCGCAAAGGTCACCACTGTCTCCGTCTCCTGCTGTGTCATGTCTTGGCCAGGCTGGAAACTCCAAGGTGCACCGAAAACATGGGTGGCCAGAGCCCTGGGCCCTCCTTCCCAGGCCGTGGGACGTGGGTTGGTGGGCTTCCCGTGAGTGTGCCGTGGTTTGCGGGCAGGGTGGCTCCCAGGCCCACCCACGGGAGGCACTCACAGGACTCGGGCAGGGGCGGCCATCACCAGCAAGTGCTTCAGAGTAGGGGGAAGAGCTTGCGTTGCCGTTCAGTCCCCTGCACGTGAAGATGGGAACTTCAGGCGTGGCAGGCTCACAGAAGAGACATGACCCTTGTCCTGTGATTGGAGGCTAGTGGGTGGTGCCGGTCTCTGGTCTGTCAGGTGGAGATTCATCCTCAGTCCCACTCTCTGTCCTGTTCCTCAGGCCTGTGCTTGAGGCCTGACGCAGCTATCTGCAGCTGTATAACAAACATCCCCAGCTCGGCGGCCTCACTGCAGTGGTGCATTCTTGCTCTGTTCTGTGGGCTTACTGGTTATTCTGCGCCACACAGTGCTGGCCCCCTCCTGGGCCTCTCTGTTCTGGGATGAGTCACCCATACAGACGGGGTCTGAGGTCACAGTCACCCTCAGAGCACACGCCGGCCACCCCGTCAGCATCTGTGGCTCCTTCTGCTCCGCGTCAGGGCTCTGCCAGTGTCCCGGGCTGCCGGCCAGGACAGGCAGCCATGCCTCCCTGAGCCCTGCCCTGCTGTCTCCCAGGCTTTCTCAGCCTCTGCACTCAGACCCCCAGCTGGGTTGGTCCAGGGCACTCCCACTGTGAGCCCGGCTGTCCTTGGCCTGACCTGGCCTTGGTCTCTCTCTCTGCCCTGCTCCTCCCCTTTGCCCCTCTTCCCGCCCCAGCTCTGTCCTGGGAGCTGGCTGAAGGGAGCAGAGCCCGCATCCTCCCGTCTCCTTCTTGCACTCGCCTCCAGTGCCCCTTGTCCTCAGGCCCGGGGCAGGCTGTTTCTTGGATTTCACCCATTTCTCAGCTGACACGTGGAGGGACTGGCACAGGTCATGGCCAGGCCAGAGCAGCTGAATATGGCTGTTTCGTTAAAAGTGCGTGACTGGCTGTGTTCAAATTCAGAGCGGGAATTTCTGTGCTCACACCAAGCATTTGGCTGGTTCTCACATCGTCATGCTTGACCTCCTTAATTCATATTTTCTGATTGCTTCGGTTTCCCCTGCTCCTCTTTCTCCTTTCTCTCCCTGATACTGGATGGATAAGTTTTATTTCCCTTCCACCCATGAGAGCCGGGAAGCCACTTGTCCTCTCTCTGGTCCCCTAGTGCCACCCTCAACCGTTGGCAGAAAGCTCGGCCAGCAGGGCCGAAGTCACTGGGCTTCTTCACTGTCACTCTGAGCGCTAGAATAAAGGAGGTGTTGCATCAATTTCTCCACTGTTAACGCTCATGTTACTATTTCTTTGACTTTGTGTGTGTGTGTGTGTGTGTGTGTGTGTGTGTGTGTGTGTGTTTCTTTCTTCAAGCCACCTAAAAGGAAACCCTCCAGATTAGCCTCAGGGTTGAAGTCAGTGTTCCTTCCCTTTTGCCAGGGTCTTTGTCTGCCCCTGCCTCCTCTCTCTTCCTGTGCCTCACCCTTCTTCTTGGCACTGGGGATGGATCCTAGGCCACATCCCACCTCCCCACCCCCTTTTAGGAAGCTGGGCTCTTGCTAGGTGACTAAGTTCCTCCCGCTTGAGCTCAAGCTTGCGGTCCTCCACTCCCGGCCTCCCAGGAGGGCTGGGCCCGTCTGCTTCTCGCCAGGGAGCCTCTGGGGGTCAGCAATGGTGTGAGCCTGCCGAGCTTTCATTTAGTTTTAATTGTCTTCATTATGGTTTTCTCCTGAATGAAAATTTTAAGTGGCATTTGGATACTGTTCTGCACGGGTCTTTTCTGGGCGTTGGGCGGCCACTGTCCCCCTCTTGGCATGTGCCATTGCTAAGAAGTCTACTGTCAGCGTACTGCCGTGTAGGCTTGTCCTCTCTCTGCAGGCCTTTTGGAAACTCTCTGTCTTTGATATTTTGGCTCTTCACTGCTGTGTCCAGGCACACGTGCATGCGCGCACATGTGCACACGTGTGCTCACACACACACACACACGCATGTGCACACATGCACACTGAGAGAGCCGGACCCCTTCCTCCACACACTGTCTGCGGCCCCGTGTGCGCTTTGCCCTGCTCTCCCTGTCCTCCCCACCACACGCTTCTCTTCCTCAGCGGCCTCTTCAGCTCGCAACCCTTCTGGATGTTTGGGGCTGAATTCTGAGAACTTTCTTCAAACCCACCTCTCAGCTCACCACGTCTGTCCTGCTGCACCTCAGCCACCATGAAACCTGGTAGCCTAACCGGACCTCTGCGCAGGCACCCTTCTGTACATCCTGCTCCTCCTGCTCACGGCGCCTCTGGGCTGGTGCCCAGTTCCACGGTAGGGCGCCTGCCTAGCACCCCACTGCCAGGAAAGCAGGGGAGGCCTCACCTTTCTTTCACAGTAGCCCAGGACTTCCTTGACCCTTGTAGGGCCGCCCTGCCACCCCATTCCCCAGGGTCCTGAGGGGTCTGCTAGTGGACTGTGCTCGCTGCTGAGTGAACTCCTCGTGCCATTTGTTTTTCTGCTTTTGGGGGGTGGTGAGACAGGGTCTCACGGTGTCATCCAGGCTGCCCTTGAACTCACTGTGTATGAGCCCAGCCTGGGCTCGAACCTGGCTGTGGTGCTCCTGCCTCAGCCTCCCCAGCACTGGACTGCAGGCGTGCGCCACCTCTCCAGCTTTATGTGAGGAAGCAGCTTACAGAACAGGCCTGAGGGCGGTTGTGGCAGGCACTGCTGGAACTGTGAACACTTTTCTTTGCACATCTAGTAATGTGCACATACACGTACATGTATATATCCCTGTGTACACGTGACATATACATCCTTGAAAAGTGAACTCGACAGTGAACACGCCCACACTTCCGTGAGGGTGTATCTGTATCACAGACTCGCAAGAGCGGAACTCAGAATATGCACGTGTAAGACACAAGTGAGCTGAGCGTGGCGGCGCACACCCGACCCCAGCACTGGAGGAGGCTGAGACGGGAGGATCGCACGTTCAAGCCCAGCCTGGGCAGTGTAGTGGCTTATGGAGGCCCTGTCTCAAAAAATAAAAAGGGGCTGGAGATGTAGCTCAGTGCAAAGTCCGTGGGTTCGATTCCCAGTGCCGAAAGGAAAAACAAGTTGACAGACTGTGGGAAACTTCCCTTCTGAGGTGAGTGGAATTTGCGTTCCTCCCGTCGCGGGAGGCTTCAGTGCTGTCCGTGGCGCACACGCCCCGCGTGAGCAGCCTTCCACTTTGGCCAGGCAGTGAAGGAGCTCTCTCGGGTGGGCTTGGGCTCTGAGGGGACCAACAGCAGAGCTGTGTGCTCGTCCCTGTTCACTACCTGCCCATGACTTAGAATCGTGCGAGCTTTCCCTGACTTACAAAGCGTGGCCTGTGTTTTGTGTGTAGTGTGTGTACACGCCTGTGTGTCTGTCCTTGCACAGACCCTGCATCCTTTGTGCTAACCTAGGTGCTGAGCGGGGGCCGCCTACGTGTCACAGTCACAGTCCCCCAAACAGCAGAACGTGCACGAGTATGGTGCCCGCCGTGTGGGATTTCCTGGGGCAGGCAGAGCTGGGACACGAGAACCACACACAAAGCTGCTGCCATTGGGGCAGCGCGAGTTTGGGAGGGAAGGCGGGGTGGGCAGAGGCCCGCCCTGGGGCACAGTGGGTTGTGGCTGCTTCTGAATTCTGTGGGACTCACGATGTGCTGGGCGCTTTGCGCACGTGTGCCTCCTCCCCCGCCCCGCCTCCTCCGTGTGCATGGAGTGTGACATCGGGCTGGTCACAGGCCTGACCACAGCACCTCCAGGAGTGGCTGCAGCTCCACTGAGCTTCCATCCGTGCCCAGCCCTGCCACAGAATTATGCAGCCTTATATTTATTTCTAAATTTTTTATTTGTTAGGAATTTTTTAATTAGATTGCACATTATACACAGACTTCTGCTGCTTATTTCACTGAGTAAGATGGCACAGACCTCCTCTTCTTGTCAATACAAACTCTTTTTGTGGTTCCGGGGAACCTTTAGGGATGACTCTGCTGATTAAGGTCCTCTGTTGATGAGTGATCATAATTTTAAAGTCCTTCATTGTGTTAGGATGCCCCTTCCCTTCTCTTCTCATTTTAGTTTGAGTTTTAAACAGGAGGAGCAGCCAGAGGTTTTGTCATGCTTCTTCAGCACGTGGGGAAGGTCACAGTGCCCTCCAAGGCCCTCCTCGGCTGGGTGGGCACCCAGGACCATGCCCGGCCAGGGCTGGGGTTCCTGATGAATGAATGAGTGAGTGGGGAGGTGAAGCAGGGTGGGTAGGGTGGCCTCCCTGGCCTCGGTCTGAGGCAGCATCACATGAGGCACTGGAGAGGTCACTCAGGGTGACAGCAGAACATGCCCTGAGCAGGAGCTCCGTGGAGGCGAAGGGTGGCAATCCTGCCCTCTCCTGAGCACCAGCTGACACCTGGCTGGCCGGCCGGCTTCCACGCCTGGGCCTGGCCCCTCCAGCTCATGATGCGGGCAGCACCTGGCTGAGGTGTGACCCTTTTACACAGTGGCATTCTCCATGCCTGGCTTCTCCTACCAGCCCTGGGGCCCGGCGACCAACAAGCTCATGTGGCCCTTCCTCCATTCCAGCAGCGGCAGCTTCTCGGCCTGATGGAAAGTGCCAAGCAGTGAGACAGCCCCGGATGTGCTCTGGCCCAAGCAGCAGCTGCCAGCCACATGGGGCTTTAGAACACTTGACAGTGCCTAGTGGGGCTTAGAGACCGATTTTACATTTTGTTTGTCATTAATTGAATAGCTACCTGTGGGCACGAGCCTGGTGGCCCTTGTGCTGGGAGCACAGCTCTGTCATACTCCGGAGTCGCCAGCACTTTGTCCTGACCCATTGATACCCCTGCAGCTCCACTTGGGCTCTTGCCTTTGTGCCCAAAAGATGAAGAGGCATGCTTAAGTCTGCTGGGCTGCACACTGGGCAGTGCGTGGCCTGCCCCGATCGCGGGCGTCCAGTCCCTGGGACCTTCCTCCCACTGGGAGGGATACATCCCCAACATGAACTTTCCAGGCTGCCACGCCGCTGATGAGTGGATGCACATGTGACCCTTGGCATGAGCTAGACCTCAGGGAGTCCAGGCCAGAGCCTTCAGGGTGATCGGAGGCCACACCTGAGCCCCGGCGCTGGTGAGGTCGGCAACTGTGTCCTCAGAGGCCACACCTGAGCCCAGGTGTGGGATCAGCAACTCTGTCCCATGAGGCAGCCGCATAACCAGGCTGTCACGGCTGTGATGTGTGACAGGCACCCAGGAGACGGCATGAGTGTAGGCACCCCCCAACTCCAGGAAAAGCAATCCAGTGAGCAAGGCAGGGCTGTTGTCTGTGCACCACGTGGCTGGGTTCTGCCTAATCTGACCCCAAGTGCACCCCGCGTGGACAGGACTCTGGTGCCCCCTCCCCCCACCATGACACCAGTAACCCTTTGTGTCATGTGGCAGAGGCCTCGGCAGATGGTACCATCATGTTGGACCTACAGGAGGGGGGCTGTCGGGGATTACCGGGGCCAGTGTAATCACATTAATCCTGGGAAAGCAGGCTCACCAGAGACGCTGCACCAGGTGAGGCAGAGAGGCCAGGCCGGCTTTAGAGTCCAGGGGCAGCGAGTGCTGAGGAGGTACCAGAGGAGCAGGTGCTTGGCCGTCCATCGACCTGCACTGGATTCTGCCAGCGCCCAGAGGGGCTTGGAGCAGATCCCCAGCACCTCCAGATGGAGCCCGGCAGCAGCGAGACCTGAGCTTGTCTGACTGGCAGCCGGAGCAGAGCAGCAGCTGAGCCTGCTGACCTGTATCCACAGACTGGCAAGGCGACACCTTTGTGATTTGTGGGGATCCAACACAGGCCTTTGCACATGTGAGACAGCTGCACATCCTAGGAGCTGCGCCTCTGGCCCTTTTCATTTTTATTTTGAGAGCAATCTCGCTAAGTTGCCTGGCTGGCCTTGAACTTGCAATCCTCCTGCATCAGCCTTCTAAACAGCTGGCACTACTGGTGTGCATCGCAGGGCCTGGCAGATGTGTTGTCTTTGGCTGTGATTTTTGCACTGATTTGTTGTAACGACACTGGAAAAAAATCCACCTGCTGCTGCCAGTGAGGCCAGCATGGGAAGGGGTTTGGTGAGGGAAGAAAGCTTTGGAGAAATTATGAGTGACAGGAAGTTAAATGATTTTATTTAAACCTAAACAGGACAAATGTGGCCATGAACATCTGTAGAACCAGCTACAAGAGCCAGGGGCAGCTTCTTCGGGGAGCAGGAATTGGGAGTGGCAGGGTCAGGGTCAGGCCCAGGCCTGGCGTGAGCTCCCCAGGGCTCAGCCAGAAGGGCAGGCGCCCTACCCATGGCCCAGCGTCTCTCTGTGTCCAGGGTGGAGGACGGCAGCACCAAGCTCCTGGAGGTTGAGAGGGAGCTGCGGGCAGCGCGGCAGCGCTCTGCAGTACTGGAGCGGCAACTCGGGAAGGCGCGGCTGGAGCCTGGCAGGGGTGCAGCCCGGGGCAGAGCAGGTAGGGCTGTGGCCAGCACAGTGTGGATGGGAGGCAGGGCGGGCTGTGAGCTCTCAGCAGGGTGCCCTGGCCTCCACCCTGGGGCCCAGCTCAGGCCTTGGCCCTGTGCCCCGTGTGCTTCAAGTCGCAGTGGCTGAGCCTGGGGCAGCTGGCTTGGTGGCCCCCAGACTGGGCACTGCCCCTGGACACGCAGCTCCTGCCCCAGGGCCCAGGGTGGTGCTGAGCTCCAGTCCATAGCAGGAAGGGGTACAAATCCGCTCCTCACCCCGCCACCTGTGGGCTGCAGCTCCGCAGCAACTAGGGCCCCTGGTGAGCCAGGGCATTGGTGCCAGAGCCTGGCAGGAGATGCCAGGTGGGACTGGGCAGTTCTTTACTGTCCCCAGCCTGTCCTGCTCCTCCAGGCCCTTGGCCATTTAGGGACATCAGAAGCAGACCAGCCTAAGGTCCCTGTGGGTGAGACCATGAGGCCTGCCAGCTTCTCTTTACATGGGAGGCGTGGGGGTGGGGTACTAAGGGGAAGAGCCACCTTGGCTGGACAAGAGCAGAAGTGGGGCTCTCCTGGCCACCAAGGCCAGGCAGGGTGGGAGAGCAATCAGGGAGGCTCCTGGAGGGAGGGGCCTTATCTTCAACTGAAGGAGGCAGAAAGTGTTTCACCAAGTGGGAAAACGGGGTGCTAGCACAGGCTGCACCTCATCACACAAAGTGGCTGCTGCCGCCCCATAGGTCTGCCTGCCTCTAGCACCAGGAATAACCTGACAGGGAGCGAGAAGAAGGCCCCATCCTCTGCCCAGCTGCCTGTGGAATCCAGGGTAGAGGAGCTGACTTGCAGGTGCCCCGGCCCCGGCTTCCTGGCAGGGTGGAATTCTGTCTGGGTGCGGGTGCTTCAGGGCATGGGAATCCTGTCTGCCTCAGATGGCTCCTGCTGTGTCCGGCTCTAGGCCTGCAGCTCAGGGGCCAGCCTGCAGGACAGTAGTCCTGAGTCGGTCATGGGAGGCTAAACCCACTCTCCCACTTAGCAGAGCCCTCCTGGCTGGGGTGGGGGTGCTGAGTAGGGGTCAGGGATGCCTGACCAGGTGCTCAGCGCCCTGTTCTACGCCAGGCTGGCCGTGCAGGTGGAGGAGAACGAGCTGCTGCGTGCCGCGCTGGGCAGCGCCCTCAGGGGCAAGGAGGAGGACTTTCGCGAGTACCGTGAGACGCTGGCCCAGGTGAAGGGGGTTTTCCTGCAGGCCCTGCGGCAGCAGCAAGCTAACAGCCACTAGAAGGGTGGCCCGGCGACCGTGGGCTCCCCAAAGCTGTCTCGAGCCCTTCGGGATGGCCTGGCCCGGGCTGGCAGGCAGAGAGAGCCTCTGGGCACCTGGGCACCATCGGCCACTGCTGGGGACAACAGCCACAAGGAGACTGACGGGATCCGCTGGACTGGGGTCCCCTGTGTGCCCACTACCAGCACCATCTGTGCCTTCTCCCCTGCCCTGGGCACTGGCTTCCCACTTGCTGTGGCCAGGACTTGGAATAATAACCACCACCTCCGTAACCTGAGTCCGTGCGTGTTTCCTGCCCGCCTCTTGGAGTCAGTGCTACCATTGGGTCACCCGTGAGACTGGGCTTCAAGGCTGCTGGGCTGCCGGGCACCAGGGACAGGCCCACAGCTGAGCAGACCGTCCAGCCCAGGCACCTCCCGACACTCCCAGAGGAAGCTCAATGGACACAGGGCAGGGGCCAAGGGGCTGCGCCTGGGTGTGCGCAGAAGGCTTTCAAGGCAGTGGCTCTGGCCCGGCCTGGAATTCTACCTTCTCTGCATTGTCACGGTGTCCTCTCAGCTGCCCGGTGAGCCACCCAGAGCTGAGGTGTGCAGGCGCACAGGTGAGCAGATGGTGCGGGCGCACGGCACCCCCAGGAGATTAGTCATGTGGGCCTGGCCGGCAGGCGCACCAGTGTCCTCTCAGCACCACCCGGGCTCCTGGACACTAGCTGAGCAGGCCCCAGCCCTCTGCCCTTGGCTGGCATCGCCAATGGAGTAACCTCAGGTGGGACACAGGCCGTTGGGACCGTCTGGCCTGTGCCCATCTCGCACGGCTGCCCTCAGGCACTTGGAGCCCCTCGGATGCCCTGGGCATGGGAGATGCACACAGACAACATGTCTGTGGTGTCCCAGAAGCGAGAGGCAAGTGTGGGACCAGGGCCCACATCACCCAGGGCAGGCGGGTGCGCGCCCCCACTGCCAGCTCTGTGGCCTCTGCCACGTGGCTTCTGCTCCTCAGGGCTCGCTGTCACCCAGGACACTGTCAGAGACCAGCAAGAAGCGGGACACATCATGGCCTCACTGTTGCCCTCTGCCCCGGAGCCATATCCAGTGGTACAGCCCCCAACGCTAGCGAGGGTGCACTGGACCTCTGCCCATCCACAGCACGTGGATCTGTGGGCACCTGCAGTGCTGCGGGGCCTAAGGGTCTCCCCTAGGCTGACTGTAGACAGACTGTGACCTGCACGCTTGGGCACGTAGGCACCCAGTGGGCGCTAGCATGAGGCCTGGCAGTTCCTGCGGAGAGTGGGCAGCGAGACCCGAGGGGTGAGGCCTGCTCCCTGCCCCCACGTCCCGGCTCCGCATCCCAGCCGTGGGTTAGAGAAGAGCAGAGCCTGGTGAGCGCTGGACCCAGGGGCGGAGCCCACTGGCCGGGTGCAGGTCAGCCTGCTGCCCCTCCCTCAGGTGGGCACTGCAGGATGGCACCAACCTGACGCTGGTACCCTGAGGGGCAAGGAAAGAGGCAGTCAGAAGCAGGCACGGTGGGCATGCTGAGGCAGGAGGGTTATGAGCTCCTGCCCAGCCCAGCCTGGGCAACTTAGTGGGTCCCCATCTCAAACCAAAAGCTAAAAAGGGCTGGTAAGTGGCTTAGTGAGAAGGCCCTGGGCCCAACTCCCAATTCCACAGAAACAAAGGCATGTGGTGATGTGAGCCCCCGCATGGTCATGGGAGACCACCGGCGGGCGCCGGGTGTGGTGCTCAGGTTCTGGGCCTGACAGAGGAGATCCAGGGACAGTCCTGTGGCCTGGGGGCCACCCTGTGCTGGCCCAGGTGGCTGCCTGGCTCCTGCTGAGCAAGATGCCTTCACAGAGCACACACATGCTCCATACATGGTGTCCCAGTCCCCGGCCTGCACGTGTGGCCTGCACACACGTGCACACACAGCAGAGGCACGCGGCCCTGCATTTTTTCCTTGAGCATCAAACAGGAGCATGGAGAGGAGAGCGAGGAGGTGGGAGGCTTGGGAGATGTCCCTGTCCTGCCCCTCCCGACGTCCTGGGAGCCTGGTCCTCCTGCTGACCTCGCCCACCAGACCCGTCCCTCTCTCCATGGACCATGATGGGGTGCCCCATCCTTCCCCTGTGCCCCCGACCCTGCCTCTGATGAGCGCTCAGAGCCAGGGCTTCCTCCCAGCCCAACATAGAAGGACAGGTGCAGCCCCCGGGCACCCACATGTCAGGGACACTGACCCTGGACACCCCCAGCTGGTGGCAGTGCTGGCCTGGGATGGCAGTGTCTGCATGTGTCACCCTAGACAGTGGTGGGTGCCCTCACCCCACAGAGCAGCCCCAGAAGCCACTAACTGCCTTAGCCTTGCGTCTTCTGCCAGCTGGGGGCTGGGGCACAGGGGTAGGGATGGAGGACTCAGGCTGCATCTGTCCTGGCTGCTGTGGTCACCAGCCCTGCACCAGCAGAGGTCTCCGCTCACACCTCTGGGCCAAGGCTGGGCTGCACAGCTGCTCGTCCAGTGCTCAGGTGCCACCTTTGTCCCTGTCCCAGGGCCTGCCCGGCCAGCAGGGCTCCCTGCCATCCTTGGAGCCACAGCCACGGCCAGAGTCAGCAGGGTCTCCAGAACTGTCCTCAGCCAATGGCAGTCACATGCCGCTACCCACAGGGACCCCACACACACTGTCCCAGACACAGAGCCACACCCCAAGGGAACAGTCAGAAGCCTCAGCCTCTGGACACCACTGGGAGACCCCTCCCTGCCACAGCTGTTAGGGACAGTCCCTTCTTCCTATCTGCCACTGAGCAGATGCCAGCCACTGCAGGCACCCCCTCAGCCTCGCCAGGTGACCCTACAAGCACCTGCTCCTGACAGCTCCTGTGGGGCAGGTGGGTCCTCCCTAGGCGTCACGCCTGTGCCACCAGCACTCTCAGCATGGCACAAAGCAACAGGCCAAGGGCCACATGGTCCACCCCAAACCCTGGGGGTCTCACGAGAAGGTGGAGCTGGTGCCCGTGGTGCCCAGGCAGGATGGTGTACAGTGGCCAGCAGTAGGGCTTCCTGGAAAGGGAGTCCTGACAGGCAGCAAGAGAGAGGCGGGAGGCTGTGGGTGCAGTGGGGGGGGGGGTGTCCCTGACAGCCTCTCCTCTCCCCCTCCCCCCATCCTCCCGCGGCTCCGCGGCCAGCAGCTCTGCAGTGCTCGGCTCAGCGCCACTCAGGAAGGCCACCTCCTCCTGCCCTCCCCCGCCGTGTCACCACTCACCGCATAGCCTCCAGGGGGTGGGGACCCCAGCCTGGACACTCCCCACTGTGGCCCCAGACCTCAGCCGGCCAGACAGACGTTCAGTTGGACGCAGGGCCCCGGAGCCCAAGGTGGGCGGCACGCCAGGGTCCCTCGTGGCCTCTCAAGGTCAGTGCTGGCTGGGGACATGGCCATCCAGGCTCCTAGACCCCTGCAGGCCCCTGGGACCCTTGTGCTAGCCTGCAGCCCCAAGGCAGACTAGTCCCTGAGCACACCTGAGATGGCCAGGTGGGACAGGGTCACCCTGGGTCCAGCAGCTACCCAGGCCAGGGTCTGGTGGGAGAGGCCGGACGGGGGGCCGCTCCTGGTGCAAGCCTCACCGGGGACACTCAGCACCAGACGTGGAAGCTAAAATTGGAACACGGCAAGTGGGAGGCAGCTGACAAAGCGGCTCCGCGGCTCCCCTGTGCTCGGGTTTCAGGCTCCTGCTCCATTAACCTGATCCCAGCCTCTGCCCTGCCTGCCAGGCAAGGGGGTGAGGAGGTGCCCAGCCTGGGTGCAGTGGGGGCAGGTGCAGCTGAGACACGGAGGGGGTCAGCGGTCTCTTTCAGGACTGCAGGGGCTCCCTGAGGCCACCTTGTCGTGGAGGAAGCAGCTGGATGTGGGGCCCTAGCCCGCCCCACCCCTCTCTGGCCCACGACCCCTCCACTGTGGACCCAGAAGAGCTGGCAGGGATTCTGGTCTGGGCACACCCATCACCGGGGTACTCAGGGTGGGACAGAGCCATGCCAGCGCCAGCAGATGCCTAGTCTAGTACTTCTCTCATTGCCCTAGTTGGTCCTTGTGTAGTGGCAGGGTGCCCCTGGCCAGAGTGGCGCATGGCCGGAGGTACAGGTGTAAACTGAGGCCCCAGGGTTGGCCTAGCAAGACTCTGGGGACACACGGCCCTGGCAAGAAGCTGGTCAGCACCCTGGACAGCGGCCAGCGCCCCCAGGTGCCCACCTGGCCCCAACTCGTGTTCCTTCCTGGGCACCTCCTCAAATAGCACAGTCTCCAGCCAGCGTCAACCTGAGTGCCTGGGTCGCCAAGTGGGGACAGTGGACACCGGAAGGGCCAGGACCAGGCAGGCTCATCAGAGGTCCATGCCCAGGAGGTCATGTGGTTGGGGTCAGGGAAGGCAGCTTGGAAAGGGCCTGGGGTCCGGGTGAGGGATCTTAGGGGCTGCAGGCTCCATCAGGAGCAGGGAGGGTTGCGGGGTGAGGGGTCACAGGTGATAGGAGCAGAAGTTATGGGGTCTCAGCAGGGGTAAGGGAGCCTACCTGAGCGGCAGGGAGGCTGGGGCACAGTGGGCTGTGATGGATAGCCCTTGCAACTGGGGCTGCAGGCCAGCAGGACTGCGGGGGCCATGCCTCACCCAGGTTGTCTCCCCAGCCCCGTCCAGACCATGGGTGTCAAGACTGCGCTGCCCGCTGCCGAGCTGGGCTTCTACTCTCTGGTGCTGAGTGGGGCCCTGGCCTTCGCCGCCCGGGGCCTCCTGGAGGCATCCCAAGGTGACAGCAGGATCTGAGGGTGGATGCTGGGACCCTGCCCTGTGGGCCACAGGGTCAGGGTGCTGCGCGGGCCTGGTGGTGTGGCCCCCCCAGGGACACGAGTCCAGAGACCTTGATGGGGCCCTGCCCTGAGGCCACACTCTGTCCTCAGAAGGGGCCCACAGGAAGTCCTTCCGGCAGTCTGTACGACCTGGCTGGGAGTACATCGGTCGGAAGATGGTAGGTGCTGGCCCCACATGTACCACCCTAAATCCACCTATAATCCTGGTCTCAGAGCCAGGGGTCTTGGGCTCCCCACACCTGCTCCCCAGGGTCTTGGGTCCCCTCAATCCAGATGGGCACTGCCCTCCCAGGACCATGGCAGGAAAGGCTGATATGCCCAAGTTGAGCAGAGGGCCAGCGCTGCCCCAGCTCCTGCCTCCCACATGTGACCCCTGCAAGGAGGGCAGGGCCTTGCCCAGTAGCCAGAGGTGCCAGCCCGCCCTCAGTCCTGTCCCCTCCCACCATCCTCCTGCCTGCCACCAGGACGTGGCTGACTTTGAGTGGGTGATGTGGTTCACCTCCTTCCGCAACGTCATCCTCTTTGCCCTCTGTGGACACGTGCTCTTTGCCAAGCTGTGCACCATGGTTGCCCCCCAGGTGAGATGAGGCTTGGGCCCCCTTGGCCAGGGGTGGCAGGGAAGCCCAGGGCCCCAATGGAGCCTAACCCGCCTCCCACCCTGTCCACAGCTACGCTCCTGGATGTATGCGGTGTACGGAGTCCTGGCTGTGGTGGGCACCATGGGCCCCTGGTACCTGCTGCTGCTGCTCGGCCACTGCGTGGGCCTCTACATTGTGTCCCTCCTGGGCCAGCCCTGGCTCTGCCTTGGCCTTGGCCTGGCCAGCCTGGCCTCCTTCAAGACAGACCCCCTCATCTCCTGGCAGGTGAGCACCGGGTGGGACAAGCAGGACACCAGGGTGGGACCCGAACTTTCACTGCCTCTGGGCCCACTGCAAGGTGGTCCCTGCAGGGCTCGGAATTGCCCGGCTTCTGGCCCTGCCTCTGCTGGGGCCGAGTCGGGCCCAGAAAGCAGCCCCACCAGCCAGCCCCTGTCCTCTCTCTCCAGAGTGGGTTTGTAACGGGCACTTTCGACCTCCAAGAGGTGCTGTTCCAGGGGGGCAGTGGCTTCACGGTGCTGCGCTGCACCAGCTTCGCGCTGGAACGCTGCGCATACCCCAGCCGCCGGTACTCACTGGCTGACCTGCTCAAGTACAACTTCTACCTGCCCTTCTTCTTCTTCGGGCCCATCATGACCTTCGACCGCTTCCACGAGCAGGTGAGGCACGGCGCAGCCCCAGACTCCCCCTCCCCCAGTCTGTCAGCTGATCTCCGAGGAAGCCGCTTCTGTCCTGGTCAGACACCAGGCCTGGATCGCTGGGTGGAGGTGGCCTTTCCTCCTGCGGGCGCGCACCCATCACGTGGCTGCAGCGTGGACGGCTCCTCTGGCGCCCACTGCGGCGGCCTAGGCTGGGGCCCTGTCTCCGGCACCGACCGGCACATCCCGCGTCCCCAGGTGAGCCAGGCGGAGCCAGTGCGGCCTGAGGGGGAGTTGTGGCGGATCCGCGCGCAGGCGGGGCTCAGTGCGGCCGCGGTCGCAGCCGTCGGCGTCTTCTTCCACTTCTTCTACATCCTCACCGTCCCCAACGACCTCAAGTTTGCCGCCCGCCTCCCAGACGGCGCGCTCGGTGGGTTGCACTACAGGGCGGGGACAAGAGTGCCTTGCGTGCGCTCAGCGTGGCACAAGCATCGAAGGGCGCGGGGACCAGGCCTGGGGCTTTGCAGAAGATGGGCTGTCCAGAGGCTGAGCGGGGAGCTGGGGGGCACAGGGAGGCCCGCTGCGCTGGGCCGTGACCACGCCTGTCCCCAGCTGGCCTGGCCTACGCGAACCTGGTGTACGACTGGGTGAAGGCGGCTGTGCTCTTCGGCGTTGTCAACACCGTGGCGCGCCTGGACCACCTGGACCCGCCGCGGGCGCCCAAATGCATCACAGCGCTCTACGTCTTCGGGGAGACGTGAGTTCCAGGGCAGGGTGCGCGGCGGGGTCCCCCAGCACACTGGCCTCTGCCTGCTCAGCTGCCCCTCCCCCACAGGCACTTCGACCGGGGCATCAACGACTGGCTGTGCAAGTGAGTGGGGCACAGATGAGCCCCGGGCAGAAGCGGCCGCACCACACAGGCGGCGGCGCCCTTGCAAGAGGAGCGTGGGGTGGAGGCGAGGGCAGCCTGCACCACCCGAGCTGTCCCCAGGAGGGAGGCCCAATCTGTCAGGGCAGTGGCCTCCACTTGGGAAACTCGCTTGGGACTTGGGCTCTCTGGGGTGCAGGTGGATGGAGGGCAGGGCCCTGGGCTTAGGCGGAAGAGCGGTCAGCTGGGCCTGCAGGGGGTGAGCCCGGGAGGGGACAAGAGTGGACAGAGGAGTAGGAGAGGACTGCAGGCCCTGTGACACCCAGCAAGCCAGGGGAGGCTTCGGACTCTGGCAGGGACACCTGGCTGCGGTCTGGGGACAAGGCAGCTGCATGGGAGAGGACCTGGAGCCCTGGGGGAGGGGAGAAGTAGTGGCGGGGGTCAGTGGAGGGATCCTGCCTGATGCAGGAGGCGGGGCCCCACTGAGAGACCATAGTGAAGCAGAGTTGGGGTATGGGGCGACAGGCACAGGAGGCCCCATCCTGGGACCCTGTCTGTGACAGCCTTCGTGTCAGGGAGTGGGCGACCTGGCTCCCCCACCTGGGCGAAAAGGAAGATGGCAGACAGGGTTCTCAGAGCTCCAAGAGGGCAACTCCATGGCCATGGTGGGTAAGGGCAGCATACGGGAGGCAGCAAGAGGGCAGCACAGGAGGACTGCATGGAGCTGGGGACACTGTGGGCGTCAGGAGGGGAAGGGCTCTGGCAAAGCCCGGGTGTGGTCAGGGTATGGGTAGAGAGGAAAGCTCTGAAAATGAGCAGGCCAGGGCCCCACAAGGCTGTTTCCTTCAGCCGGTCTCCCACCAGGTTTATTTGACACACAATTACCAAGCAACCGCCTGGTGCCAGGCAGCATCCCAGGCCAAGAGTGGTGAGGCCCCAGCGGGATCACCTCGGGGCTGGGGGTTTCGGAGGTCAGGCTGCAAGTGGGCAGCAGCTGACCGTGGGGCCCCTGCTTAGATGTGGACGGGGACTTCAGTGACAAAGTCCCAAGGAAAAGAGGTGTGCAGGGAATGAGCAGCCCAGGTGACTGCGGTCCAGGCTGCATCATGGCGGCCAGGGCTGCTCCTGAAGATGCCCAGTGCAGTGTGGGGAGGTGAAGCAGGAAGTCCAGAGACTCGGCCACGAGGTGGTGCCCAGGCCCGGCGGAGACGGAGAGGAGAGCAGCAGTCAGGTTGAGCGACGGGTGGCAGCCCGAGTTTGGGCCAACCAGGCTGAGGGTCAACTGCCCCAGGGAGGCCTGCAGGGCGCAGGTAGGCGAGGCCATGTGGTGGACAGAGGCCAGAAAGAGCATGAGGCCCAAGGCAATGACACACGGTGGGCACAGCGCAGCACCCGCACCCAGGACAGCAGCGTGGCCTGACATAGGACAGGTCCCCATCTCTACCTGGCCCACCCATGCCACCAGGTATGTGTATGACCACATTGGCGGGGAGCACTCGGCTGTGATCCCGGAGCTGGTGGCTTCTGTGGCCACCTTTGCTGTTACCACACTGTGGCTTGGGCCCTGTGACATCGTCTACCTGTGGTCCATCCTCAACTGCTTTGGCCTCAACTTCGAGCTCTGGGTCCAGAAGCTGGCAGAGCATAGGCCTCTGGCTCAGGTGGAGGTGAGCAGGGAGGGAGGCTGGGCAGGAGGGAAGGACAGGGCGAGAAGAGGGTGCCACACCTGGATCCCGCCCGGCAGTCCCCCCCAGTCTAGGCCCACACGGCTGGGCACGCTTGCTGCTCGGGTCTCCTCTCTTGGGCCTTGGTAACCCCACGTTCAGGAGGGTGAGCCGGCTGGGGCCCAGAGACGCTCACGCAGCCCAAGCCCATGCAGCTGGGCTGGGTCATGAATGCCTTGTGCTCTCCGTGGGCCCCACCACGATGCCCCCTGGCCGCCAGGCCTCCCTGTCTGGGCAGATGAGCCGCCGGGTGCGGGCCCTCTTTGGAGCTGTGAACTTCTGGGCCATCATCATGTACAACCTTGTGAGCCTGAACAGCCTGGAGTTCACAGAGTTGGTGGCTCGGCGCCTGCTGCTCACAGGTGAGGGCAGCACCCGCGCGAGGACCTGGCCCTGCTGAGAGGCAGGGAAGGCTGGGCCAGGCCAGTCGGAGCAGCATCCCTGGGACTGCATGCAGACCCACGCTCCACTCCATAGGGTTCCCCCAGACCACGCTGGCTGTCCTGTTTGTCACCTACTGTGGAGTCCAGCTGGTGAAGGAGCGTGAGCGCGCCTTGGCGCTGGAGGAGGAGCTGGGCCAGGACAAGGAGAAGCCAGAGTGAGGGCAAGGGCCCGACCCAAGAATAAAGCCTTTTTTACCACATGGCTCCTGCTCTTCCTGGCGGTCTCCAGCTGCTGAGTGGGGACACTGAGGCCAGAGAACAGAGGAAACGGGCAGCAGAGACCTTCAGCCTGCCTGCCATCCCTTGATGGCAGTGGATGCCAGAGCCTGTGTTTCTTTATTCCCCTTTAAACAGGGACCCATGGCCATTACCCCTGCACACAGGGCCAGGCTGGGGTGCTGCCTGGGTTCCTCCCTGTGGCTCTGGGGACCCAGGGGACTATGGGAGCCCTGGGTGCCCTGCAGGGGCCAATGTCCCAACCTGAGGCTGGGCTGGCTGTGGCACCTTGCCTGGGTGAAGCAGCCCCATGGCCGTCATGGGACCAGGCAGCTCCACCTCTCCCAACCCCTCTCTGGGCCCATGGGGCACACAGGTCACATCTTGGTCAGGCGCAGCACGTTGAGCCGCACAGGCAGGAATGTGGCACCCGCAGCATAGGCAATTTCCCGCAGGACACCCTCCCACTTCTTCTCTTCCTCGTTGTATCTGGGGTGGGGACAGACAGGGGGACAAGGAGGGCCACTTGGTCAGCTGAGTGCAGGGTGCCACTGGGCAGGGAGGGTGGGCCGTGTGACCCCAGCCTCGAGCCCAACCCTGCTCACACAAGAAAAGGCAGCCCAAGGAAGCACACCCCAGACTCCAGGAAGTGGCAACTCTCAGGAAAGGCCCCTCTTGCTCCAGGACGAGCACCTCTCTCCTGGAAGGCACTGCCCATCCCGCCCCTTCATGCTCAGGAAGCGCACTGTGGCCCTGGGGGAAACTGGGGCCGGGGACAACCTGGGCAGTGCGCACCCTCCTCTCCCCATAAGGTGCCAGCTGTGGAGAGCAGCTCCTTCCAGGCCCACCTCAGCTTCCCTCCAGACCCAGGCCTGGTGGCCATCTGGGCCACTTCTACAGCTCCCGGCTGAGCTGGGCCAGGGGCATGGGCTGAGCACCCAACTGTCATCGGACCCTGGGCTCCCCAGAAGACAGCCCACCTCATGGGCCCCTCCCATGCTGGCCCTGAACCTCAGGGGTCAGGACCCCCCAGGCAGGAGGGGCTCACCTCCAGATGTCATTGAGCTCCGTGGGGACCAGCTCTCCAGACTCAGTCTCCAGTGTGGCGAAGCCCCCAATGGCATAGAGGGTCCCCGCCAGGCTGACCAGGCTGAGGGAGCTGCGCTCCTGGGGGAAGGCCTCAAAGGACGACCACCTGGGGGTGGGGCATGAGCTAGGCTACTCTGTCTCCGCAGCACCACAACTGCAGCCAAACCTTGGGAACCAGAATCCAGGCTCCCACATTCCAGGCTGTGAGCACCCCAGCCCTGCTCCCCTCCCTTGCCCCCAGATGGCCCCACACCAGCAGCCCAGGGAAGTTGGCCCTGACCTCCCCAGCACCTGCCTCTCCTAAGTTCCACCTGCCATCAGGCCCCAGCGGCTCTCTAGTGCAGGGACGAGGCCCCCGCAAGACACCCATCCCTTCTTCCTCCAGGCCTGAGGTCCCACAGCACCTTACTCCCCGAGCTCCTACAGTGGGGCCCTCACCCCCACCCTCAAAGCCCCTGTCACCCGCACATTTCCGACCTTGCACCCACCCAGATCCTCAGCAGCTATCAAAGCTCTGACAGCAGGCATCCCCGCGACAGCATCCCCCAGTCTCCCTGCACCCCCTCGCCCGAGCCATCGCCGGGCCCCTGCTGTCCAGGGGAGGCTCTTAGGATGCTTCCAGTTGTGCACACCTGCATTCTGACCAGGGGTTCGGTTGGCAAGGAGCCTGGCCATGTCGGCAGTGCCTCCTACCCAGCCGGCTGCATTCGGGTCCAGGCCTCCCACTGCCCCCACCACAGGGCACCCCGCCCATATCCCAGCCTCACAGAGAACCCTCACCCACATCTGGCTGCTGAGAGTATCTCAGGAAGCACCCAAGACCCAGCCTTCCCTGGGGACAGTCGCCTCTTTGGCTCTACCTCCACCTGGCTTCCCCTTCTGAACCCGCCCCACTGGCCTGTTCCAGGGCCTGCAGCACCAGTTTGCAGGCCCGGCAGACTCCTCCTGCCCTGCCAAGTCCAGCAGGTGCCCCTTCCTGGAGGGCACCCTTCTGCAGGCCCACAGGGTAGAACTCTAGCCCCACACCCCCTTGGGGCCAGGAACAAAGTGTCTGTGTCTGGACCCAAGCCCTAGGAGGGCCGAGGGAAGCTCACTTGTCATCCGCGATGCTGTACACCTCGGCATTGCTGGTCAACCCTGTGTCTGTGACCCCTGTGGCCACAAAGATGCGGCCATCATGAACGGTGGCCCCGAAAAGAGAGCGTGCCATCTGCATGGGCGCCAGCTCCTTCCATTCAAACTTCTTGGGGTCATAGACACAGGTCTTGCTGAGGCACTTCCTGCAGAGAAACACAGTGAGTGGGGAGGCTAAAGCAGGGCAGTCTCCTGGGAGCCCAGGCCCAGCCTCACCTGTCGCTGCCCTTGCCCCCAATGACATAGACGAGGTCCAGGTGGGACAGCACCGCGTGGCCATACACAGGATAGGGCAGTGGGTCCGACTCACCCCATTTGAATGATCTGGAGGAGGTTGGGAGGGGGTGCTGGTTCCAAGGGGGCTCGGTGCCCACCCCACTCCAGTCCCCCACTGGGTTCAGACCCAGGTGCGCCCTGCTCCTCCCAGGACCTCGGCTCTCCGGGTCTTCACGCCCACCCCACTTGTGGCCCTGCTCACAGCCGGTCATAGCACAGCACGGAGTCCAGGCACTGCTCGCCGTCCTTGAGCTCACGGCCGCCGACCACATAGATGGCATTGAGCGCCTCCCCCAGGCCGAAGAGGCAGCGTGGCGAGGGCAGTGGTGGCATCCCCAGCCACTCCGAGTCCAGATGGTCAAACTGCGGGCAAATCGTCTGTGACCACTGCGCCGGCCACCACCCTGGCTCCCACCACTGCATGCTGCTCCCTGGCCCAGACCCCTGCCCTAGACACTTGGCCCTGACTGGGTCTGCCGTCTGCACCTGGCCACCTCCACTGCTGCTCCGACAGGAAGGCTCACCCTGCCGTGGGCTCCCTGTGGTGCCCAAGACACTGCCTTCCTCCTTGCCACACCTCCCCGAGTAGGGCAACTCCCCCAGACCCGAGTGCAGCCTACCAGTCCTGGCCCCAGCAGGCTCACCCAAGTCCACAACAGTCCCGCAGCTCCTCCAGTCCGCAGCTGGGAGCACGGGCCACCCCACCTGTGCTCTGACGTCTGCGGGGCTCAGATCTGTGCTCCCCGCAATCCCTCCCTGCCCACCTCCTGCAGTCACCCCAACTAAGACTGAGCTCCCACTCTCCTGGGCCTTCTGAGCCTCAGCTTCTTCCCGACAGTGGCTTCAGGGCCCAAAGACCCTGCCCTGCCCTCCCTGGCCCGACGTCCTCCGCACTGTGCTGATCTGACCCTTGTGCAGGGTACCCCACCTGCACCCTCCAACCTGGCATCCCTTGGAATGGAGGCACCAACTGGCTCTCAAGCAGCTGCCTGTAAGCACCCTACCCGCCCGCCAGCGATGTCCCCGAGGAGATGCTGGCTCCCTCACCCCCCAGGGCTGGTCCGCACCTGCAGGAAGTACGCACTCATGGGGTCCTCTTTGTTGTCCTCGTTGTAGAAGAGGCCCCCGGCCACGAAGACCTGGTTCTCCTTGGTGACCAGGCTCACATGGTTCTTGGGGACCTGCGTGGAAAGGGAGGCGCAGTAGCATTCATTGGCAGCGGGGTCATAGGCCACCGCGCCCTCCTCGCTGATCAGAAAGATGAGGTCCTGCAGAAACATGCCGAAGCGCAACGTGTCGTTCAGGATGCCGGGCAGCACGCGCTCTGCACCCTCCTCCTCCTCTCCCTCCTGGTCCTGAGCCTGGGTCTCTTCCGGGGTGGGACTCTGCTCAGTCCCCTTCTCCTTGCCCTTGTCCCTCCTTTTCCGGCGCAGCGTGGTCACGCGGCCCTCATGCGCATCCTTCACCATCTGCACCTTGCGCAGCAGCTCGGGCTGCGCGCGCACGAGCGGGTGGCGCGCCACGCGGGTCTCCAGGAAGGCGCGCGGCAGCAGGCGGCAGCGCACGCTCTCGAACACAGTGGGCAGCGCGCGCTGGCGCTCGGCGCGGGCCTCTGCATCGCCACTCTCCGCCCAGCGCATCACCGCCTCGAACACCGCCTCCTCCTTCTCCACGTTGAGGCCGTCGCTGGAGATGATGGCGATGAGCTCATCCGCTGAGAGCCCCAGAAAGTCGGCGTCGCGCGCCACCAGCGAGAAGCGCGCGCAGATGAAGTCGCGCGCGGCCACGGCCAGGCGCGCGCAGTCCAGCAGGAGGCCGAGGCGGAACACAGCCAGGCAGTTGGCGAGGCACAGGCGCTTCTGCAGGAAGGACACGCAGATCGTGAAAATGGACGGGATCTGGAAGCGGTGCGCCGCGGCGAACAGGTCCTGCACGCTCGCCTCGTCCAGCGCGATCTCCGACGTGTATAGGTAGTGCAGAACCTGGGCCACCACGTCTGGCGACACCTCCTCCAGGCGCAGCTCACCCGCGCTCTCGGGTTCAGCCAGGAAACGCCCACGGAAGTAGGGGCTGCAGGCGGCCAGCACCAGGCGATGGCACGGGAACTCGCGCTCTCCCGCGCGCACCACGCAATCCAGAAACTTGCCGTGGTCCAGCATGTCCTTGAGCCCATCCTGCAGCAGCGTTTGCTGGTACAGCCGCTGTTCCTCCACCTGCTCCAAGCCGAGCGCCATGGTCCGTGTTCTGGAGTGCAGCAACGGTGCCAAGGGTCCCCTGGTATGTGGCGATGGTGCCCAGGGCTGTTCTCTGCGCCCTTGCCTCTTTGCCCTCCGCCTCAGACTGCTCAGTTGTCCCCGTGGCGCTATATATAGAGGGGTCTGTAAGATGAGCCACCAGGCCTCCCCCACAGGACACTCGGGACAGCTGGGCCAGGCCCCTCCCTGAGCAGCCTTGACTCAGCCGTGGACTGGAGGGTGAGGACGAATGTGGGGCTGTCCCCAATTCCTTTCCAAGTGGAACAGTGAGGTCTTCCTCATCCCCAATTCCCTGGCAGGGGACCCCTAGAGTAAAGGGAGCCCATGCCTCTCCTTCCTGCACAGTGTGCTGCACCACGGCCCTGTTGTCCACGCTTAAAATGTGAAGCCCTTTTCCTCTCCCTGCTGGTTCAGTTCTGAGACTCCCTCCAGGCAGCCAAAGGTAACCAAGGCCACCACTATCCTGAGAGGCCTGCTGCAGGGCGTCACTTTTCCAAGCCTCAGTTTATTGTCACACACCAGGAGGAGGGGGAGGAGCTGGACTCCAAGGGCCCCAGCCAGGCTCTGCTGAGGACACTGAGGTATCCTGTCCCTGAGAGCACGCAGTTACCAGGTGATGATGCCTTGATGTATCATCCCTGCTAGAATTTACTGTCCTAGGGTCCTGCTAGTGAAGGCGTTCAGAACCCCAGGTTTTAACGTCCTAGGGTAGTGACATCCTGAATTCCAGTGTCCAAGACTCAATGCGCTGAAGATACAGGACCTCAGCTCTGCTCATGGCCCTTGGTCCACACTGGTGTTGAAGTGGGACTCACTGCCTTATCTGATCTCAGGGGTCAGAGTGGAGGCCCAGACGGTGGGGGATGGTGCCCACCCTGCTCTGGATTTGCCCCCCAACACACACACACACACACACACACCAGCCTTGGCCACCAAAATTAACTTGTTCCCAAAGTGCCAGCAGCCACAGCTGTGGGTTAAATTTAGCCCCTGAACACTGGTCTGAGCTATTATGGGGCACTCCCTGATCAGTCCTCTGAGTCACTTGTTTGTAGCCTCGGTGTGTCTCTGGACCGCAGGCTGGGCCAGCACTTGCCCCTCCCCTCTTGTGGTTCCAGCACTGTCACTGCCTGTCCCTCTGAGGCACCTGACCGTCACCCACGCATCTCACTGACAGGTCCTAGGGTGCGCCCTGGGTAGGCCTGCAGGGGTTCTGTTCACTTCGACTTTGAAAAGGGCTCGAGCCAAATCACCTGGAGGCAGGTGTTTCTAGCCTGCCTTCGACTCAGCTCCAGGAGGAGTCATGGTGTAGCCACATCTGTCGCCTGCCCTGACGGCCCCACCAGGACTGAACGCAGCCCTGCCCATCCGTCCCCAAAGATGCCAGAACTCTCCAGTGCCCAGTCTCGCTTGCCCGGGACCAGGCGAGGAGCTGACAAAGGCTCATCTCTATCTCCCTGATGACCGCGGGAGGTATTTTTAGGTGATGCGATCTCACGGAGCTCAGTCCTCCACGCATGCCCTGAGGATGCACCTACGTGGCCTGCCGAGAACTCAGTGCTCGTTGCTCTAAATGCTGAGTCTGCGGCGTGAACAAACGGGCAGGAATTCGTGCCTTCAGGGCACTGATGAGAGGCACATCCCTTGTCATAGGAGACTTCAGGCGGCCCTGACTGCTCTGGAGCCAAGGGGGGATTTCAGGGGTGTAGCCAGGGTGGACTCGCTGTGGGGGGCACCCTCAAGCAGGCTCCAGCCAGAGCGTTCCAGGTGGGGCTAGCCAGAGCGAAGGCCCCGAGGCAGGAGTGCGCCGGCGCATACCAGAGTATGAGGCACGTGGAGTGCAAGCTTATTCAGGGGAACCACTGTTTAGTTTTTAATTATATTATTGAAGATACAGTACAAGAGTAGAGACAGTAGCATTCTGGCCTCTCTTGCCTCCTCCCCACTGCAGTAACTCTTAGGTCTCTGTTGAGGGTTAAATGTCACCCACCTTACAACTCAGGTGTGCAGGTGGAGGTGGTGGCCAGGAGGAGGTCCTTCAGACCCTGGGCTCTACCCCAAGAGGGGATCAAGAGGGTTCCTGTGGGGCTCGGGCAGATCCCAGGAAAAGGTTGGCATGCAGCCTGAGCCAGCCCCTGCTGTGCCTCTGGCCTCCCAGGCTAACATGCAATTTCCTGACTGTGCACCTCTCGCCATGAGGGGACCTGGTGGGAGCTTCTCCAGGGCTGAGCTGCCATGGGCACCATGACCTGGAATAGAGAGCTACACGAACCCTTCCTCCTGAGCCACCTGCCTTGGGTGTCACATCATGGTGAGTGGGCGGTCTGTCACACGCGGCAGACGCTGGTTACATCTGGAGGTCCTGCCCTGAGGCAGAAACGCAACCTTGCTTTTCCACCACAGACTCCTGCTGCTCCTTTCCCCCATGGTCCCAGTTTCCCAGATTTCCATTCAGAAGGAAGCACAAAGGGGCAGAGTTGATGTCTTGGCAGAGAGCTGAGGGACAGCATGGTTGAAACTGCTGGTGGCCACTTTCCCAGGACCATCAGCCTGGTCATGGGTCTGTCCCCCTGGCTGAGCCTGGCCATTGCCAGGCTGTATGGCCTGCGGTCCTGACTCTGGGACTCCCCTGAAGATTCTGTCTGCCCCACAGTTTGCTGCTGAGAAGGCTGCGTGATAGGGAGGCCCAGAGCAGATTCTCCCGGGCAGCAGGCATTGCAGGGTGGGCGTGGGCAGCTCTCTGATGTCTGCTGGCTTCTCGCTGACTTTTGCACTAAAGGTGACCAGACTGCAAGAATCCCAGCTCCCAGAGTGTCCTCGTGTGATGCCGAGACCGGACCCCAGGGCCCGGGGAAGTAGGCCTGTGGGAAAGGGTCCGCTGTGCACGTCTCTTGCATGCATCAGTGCATGTTTGCCGAGGGCTTAGAGGGCACACTGCCAGGCACCAAGGCTTCGAGGAATGTCAGCCCCCTGGACTCACACTGTGATGGCCACAGAGGTGGGTGGGACCCTCTGCCTTTGCGGTGCCACCCTATTTGGGGGGTTGTAGCCGTGCTTCAAGGCAGCAGAGGCCAAGCAAGGCTCGTAGTGCCAAAAGCAAGACGGGACGTCACTGTGACCGGGCACAGTGCCAGCCTAAGTGGTGCCGGGTCTTGGGAATCTAGGAGGCTATAATGGACCACAGGTTTCTTAGGAGCAGAAAGAGAGGGGTGCCCTGCCAAGGTCCCATGGGTGCACCGGCCAGATCTAGATTGCCTTCCTTCCCACCACTTTGCTGCTGACCCCACCATCCACGGACTTTATGCTTTACCTCTGCTCGTGGAACCCCACTAAACAGTGCTTTCGACCTGGGGTCTCTTCTGACAGCAGAACAGAGGCGAGCCTTCCAGTCGATGACAGCAGATTAAATGTCCACATCTCCTTTGCTTCCTCCGGAAGCTTTCCTGCAGTGAAAGCACATGAATTTTAAAAACCTAAATCACTAGCAAGAACGAGTGCACAACACACTAGAGAGAGCAGTGACACGAGGGTTCTGGCAGTTCTGGCAGTTTTAGAAGTTGCAGTCCATGATCGGCAGGCTCGAACAGAGAAACGGCACGGTGGGGGGGCCTGGCGCCTGCACGCTGGCCACACCCCTGGCACCCCATCTCCAACCAGGCTTCACCTCATATCGGCAGCCAGTTACCGGCTCGTGAGTGGCCTGCTCCACTGGTGAATACAGGACCCCGGCGACCGGTCACCGTCCACACACGAGGACATGGGGCACACTGCAGATCGAGTCCACAGCACTGCCAGAAAAGGCCTGGAGCTGGCAGCGCCGAGCACGTTTGCACGCACAGAAGAAGGCTACGGGTGGGGGCTGGCTCTGAGGCTCGGCAAGAAGCAGACACAGCACCAGGCCACCGGGGAGAAGCCAAAGGCTCCATTTCTGAAGATGCTGTGTCTGAGAGCTCTTGACGGGGGACACCATGAGTCAGAGCAGCCCTTTGTGCTAAGTGGAGAGCCCCTACTTCCGCTTGGCAACCAGAAGGCTAGCTGCCCAGCCCTCGCCTCCAAGTGGGATTGAAACTGGGGAATCTGCCAGCCCATGAGGAAAAAAGTATCAACAACCAAGGGACTTCCAGAAGGCAGCCTGGCCACATCATTCCAAGTGAAGGTCTCCTATCAGTAATTCTCTTCACATATGTTGAGTTTCCAGTGTCTTCCTGTTCCACTTGTTAAAATGGTTGAAGACATAGTTCATGACTTGGACTAGATAGTGCATGACTCTATGAAAATAATAAAGTCAAAGCATAACTCAACATGTAGCAAGACAGTTGGTTTTGGAGCATGAAAAAGAACAACTCAGCATCAGGCCATCTTACGTGCTCCCTGAAAGACAATGCTGTAGACCACGTGGCTCCTGACCCCTAAGCTTAGGCACAGGAGGCAGCCCACAGAGGCTCACGTCTCTCATGAATTGGGCAGGAGTACTTCTGACAACTCCAGACAAGTACCACCAGCTAGGGACACCAGCTAGGAGCTCCACTAACCACAGGGCAAATGTCATCCTTCCACATGGGGCCAGAAATGCACTTTCTGATCACGCAACCCTGAACAGGCTGGCATAGGACAGCTCTCAGCAGCGTCAGCAGGAGCCAGCAGAAGCCCCAGCAGCAACAGATAAACCAAGCAGACGCAAATAACACCACCAAGATTCTGACAAGTGTCATCTGAACTGTTATCCACAAGAATAAGTAGGACTTGCCTGCTGAACTTCAGATGTCTCCCTACTGCAACAAAAATCAACAAGATAGAGAATCTTCTAACATGTTAGTCAAAATGTGAAGTATGCAATAAACAAAATCACTCGTCATACCAAGAGCTAGGAATATCACAACACCAACTGAGTCAGATTTTGGAATTATCTAGAAAGGGTTCTAAGGCAGTTATCTGTCATAAAGTGCTCTGACAATAAACTTAAAAATTTCTTAAAACAAGGCCAGGTGTGATAGTGCATACGTGAGGCAAAAGGATCATTGTGTTTGAGACCAGCCTGAGCTACAAAGTGAGCTCAAAGCCAGTCTGAGATGCACAGCAAGACCCTGTCTCAGAAAAAAAA